AGTGTGATAATGTAGAATATACTTTTCATGTTGTATAGGATCCTCGAAGTAAGGATATTGAGGATGTCTTGATTCTTTCTGGGGATCACCTCTACCGGATGGACTATATGGACTTTGTTCAAGTAAGGCACCATGCCGTCCAATCAAAAAATTCTTTCTTCTTTCAATTCAGTTAATGCATTCAAATGTTGACTCATGTTTTGACCCATCTTCATATCCAGAATCATCGGGAGAGTGGTGCAGATATCACTCTTTCTTGTCTGCCAATGGATGACAGGTTGGTTGCTTGCCCCACATAATAATTTTCTAATTATTTCAATATAGAAAATGGTACAAGTTTCCAGCTATTTCAACATGCATAATCATTCTGCCGCATAGCTTGAAATCACCATGGCTCATTTTCTCTTTCTTGTACTTGAGACTAGCATATAAGATATACCCTGGGCAGTTGAGAGGTCTTGTGTTTGCTAATATAATGAATTAGATATTCAAGTCAATCAATTTATGCAAGTTAAGTAAATCTGAATTAGACACTAGCATTTCTTTTATCTCTGTTACGACCAGGAAAGTTCAACCGAAAGGACTAGCCTACTCAACAAGTCGTATTAATCTCTAAGCTCAATAATGCTTATCATTTATTAATCTTTAAAACTCAACTGTGCAACCATGATAGCCGTGCCTCAGATTTTGGTCTGATGAAGATAGACAATAAAGGAAGAATCCTTTCATTCAGTGAAAAGCCCAAGGGAGAAGACCTGAAAGCAATGGTAAAACTTATGTTCATCTTAATGCTAACACAACGGGAGTTTCAAGAATTATATTCACAACTAATAGTCTAATACTGCTTCATAATTTAGCAAGTAGATACAACCGTTCTGGGCCTTTCAAAGGATGAGGCTCAAAAGAAACCATACATTGCTTCCATGGGAGTGTACGTCTTCAAGAAGGAGATACTTCTTAATCTATTAAGGTACTAATTATTATGTACCAAAATATTAGGCTTTTCCTTGTGGTTCACTTCATCTATCAATATATTCTTTAAGAATACAGAAATACGCACTGAAAAATAATTTTATCCTATTGCAAAGCTTGTTTGCTAATTGCTACAAATTTATTTAACTTAGATGGCGCTTTCCAACTGCAAATGACTTTGGATCAGAGATCATTCCTGCCTCAGCTAAAGAATTTTACATGAAGGTATGACTGGAAAAAAGCATTACAAAAGAATTTTTTTACTTACGATTTTACCTTTTCATTATTCATTTTTAGTACAATAGATTTTAGAATACCTGTGCGGCAGAGACACAACCAATTTGCATATCTCTCTTCAGTCTTCACTTGCGCACACACAACCCATCAAAACTTTGGCTACTTCATGTTATGGATCAAGTGCAGATGTAGGGGCTTTCTAGAAAAATAGAAGTGGAAACTTACCTTTGAGTCTAGCAGAAAGTTCGTTTTTACTTATTATGAATATTTATAGGAAATATTTGCATACAGGCTTATCTCTTCAATGATTACTGGGAAGACATAGGGACCATCAGATCATTTTTTGAGGCAAATCTAGCCCTCACTGAGCATGTGAGTGTCAAATTTATCTGTACAGCCACTCTTATTGAACTTCAATATCATGAATGTATCGAGTTAATTTGTAATTAATGGAAGGACGTCCTAGAGGTAAACCTAAGAAATGAATTAAACTTCAAGCTTTAAAAACTCAACTATAAACAGATTTCAATCAATCTTAGTCACCTAGAAAAGCTTACTTCTGTAATTTTCAGCCACCGAGGTTTAGCTTTTATGATGCAGCAAAACCAATGTATACATCAAGGAGAAACTTACCACCATCGAAGATTGACAAAAGCAAGGTCAGTTCTTCAAACTTACTCTTCGAGAAATTTTAAAAGAAATTCACATTAGAAGCATCAAAGCCTATATTGTTGCATGTCTATATTCAACCAAAACCAGAAATTTAATATATTGTTGCATGCCTATGTTCATATACGGTACCTATCGATATTGAGTAATTCATGTGGTTGAATGTCAAACATTTTAATTTACTTTCCCGTTGTGTCCCCCTCCCCACACCATGCGACCACCTCTTTTATGTGGTCAAATCTTAAACTACAACTTTGTTATTTGTCCTTCCTTATGCAGATTGTTGATTCAATAATATCACATGGAAGCTTCTTGAATAATTCCTTCATAGAGCATAGTGTAGTTGGAATCAGATCCAGAGTAAACTCAAACGTTCATTTAAAGGTTTGGTGTACCAATTCTACTATCTAAGCTCATAAAGTTGGACAGAAGAAAACAATGCATATGATTTATCAGCATTACCATAGATACCTGATTTATCAGTTGTTTAGATGTCTGAAATTTATAGGCTAAACATTTCAAAAGTGTTTTTTTTTTTTTCTGTGGAAATATATATAATACATATTTTGGTATGTTTATTTCCTATGTTACACTCCTATGCAGGATACAGTGATGCTTGGTGCTGATTTCTATGAAACTGACGCAGAAGTGGCAGCACTGTTAGCTGAGGGAAGAGTTCCAATAGGAATAGGAGAAAATACAAGAATCAAGTACGAACCGTATCTCTCACTCTTCTAAGTCTAACCAATAGTTTCTAGGGGTAGGATATTCATACTACCAAATTTTTTTACTACCACTTCACTACTACTCTAATTATCATTGGATTAGAGGAAAAGTTGAATGAAGAGAGAGAAAAAAATAACTTTTGAATCCAATGATGATTAGAGTGGTAGTAGAGAAATTTAATAGTATGAATATCCTACCTCTAATTTCTCTCGCTATTAGTTGCTCACTTCTTCTCACATATCTGCAGAGACTGCATTATTGACAAAAACGCCAGAATAGGAAAGAATGTTGTTATAGCAAATTCAGAGGTATGCTTTTAAAACTATTTTACAGAATTACATGAGGAACTATGTAGCACCCAAGCCTAGTGTTTGACACTTTCCAATACTTTTACACTGTTTCAATATTTATAATATTTGAAATCTCATTACATATCATAAAAAAAATGATTTACTAAACTGATATAATAAAAATTAAAAATTGATACTGAATAAATCTCACTAAAATGTATAAAAGATTTTCAATTTGGAAATATAATAATAAATATTTACATCTTATGTTTCTTTGCAAAACTAATAGGTATTATAAGTTTCGTTTTATTTTTTATTAAATTATTGAATATTAAATATAATATACATTACATAAATTAAAAATATTATTTAATATTGAAACATGTTCCAACCTATAGAAATATAATATTTTTTAAAATTAACGTATGGAAAGACGAGGACTACGTGTGTGATACACTTACCAGTTGATAGCCAACTTCTTTTATTTGGAGTTATGATATTCTCACACCCTTGGTTTACACAATCCTAATATTTTTACTCAGTAAATCACTAAATCAATGTACAACAACTGAACCCCATTTAAATTTTCCCCTACAACCCTCACCATAAGTCTGAGGCAACCATTGCACTTTTACTGGAATGTCAGGAGATTTCAACAATACTTTTAAGATATAATAGAAAGAAAAAAAAATTATTTACTCACAGCAAGTGAGGCAATTATTTTTTATAGGAAAAATATTTTATCATGTTATAAGAGAATTGTTTTCTCCTATCAATGATCCTTTGATTTTCGTACAATATATATATATATATATATATATATATTTTTTAATAGATGTGGACCTTATATAAAATGTGTTATCATAAGAAAATTTTTGCCAACTGAAAAAATCAAAACCCTTTTTTATATGATGAAACATGTCCTAAATTTGCTTTGAATGAATTGCAGGGCATACAAGAGGCTGATAGATCTTCAGAAGGGTTTTACATCCGTTCTGGTGTTACCATTGTATTGAAAAACTCAGTAATTGAAGATGGATTTGTCATATGATAAATTCACTCGTCATTTGTTTGATCCATTTCGCAATGGAATTTAGGATGAGAATATTTTGGTTTTCATGAATTATAAAAATTGAAAAAACTAAAAGCATCAAATGTCAATGTGCAGTTCTAGTGAATAGAGATAGATTCACACATCATACATCTTGTATTCCAATCCAATCCCTTACAGCTGCTTTGAGCTTTAATCACGTATCATAATTGTAAATTCTAGTACACTTTTTTTACAGAGTAAAACATATAATGCACTTTGTTATTTATACTTGAATATCTCACGCTGTCTGAACCCAAAGGAAGGAAGGAGCTTGAGCTTCTGAATTTGAAGCCTAGGTGACTGAACACGCAATAATAATGGATTCAACAATAAATTCATCGTCTCGATATAAAATCAGAATAGGCCCAATTATAGCCGTATCTTTGATAAGGCTACTTCATCTTCCGAACCAGCCCAACAAGAGAGACCGATGAGTAGCACTCAAATTGTCTTGAACAATCAAATGGGGAGGGAACTTACAGTGGTCTGGGACCAAAAAGTATTGGGTGGGACTAAAGTGAGAGAAAGAGAAAAAAGGTGAAGAGAAAAAAAAGAAAAAAAGAAAATAATACATGTGTCAATTTTTGAATGAAAAACGAAGATCCGGAAGCATATTAAAAAATTTCAATGGGCCGATGAAAAATGACCCAAGAATTTAATGAGTAATGGACAACTGGAAACTCGTTCTCAGCAATTCAAAGATAATTGCCCGATCCAACGCCTCTAATTTTTTGATTGTGTTTATTTATTTTTTATAACACATTATTTTAGAGGCAACAATGGCCTATAATTACAAATAATTTAGAGTTAAAAATGAACTGCAAATCCTAAACTACGATATCCCCCAAATACTGCTGGGAGTCAAGACAATTTATTTGGCATTAGATAAAGGTATTCCTACACTCATTGACCATGCACCCATCCCTTCTAGGTAGAGTCCGGACAATTTGCTAATAATTTTTACTTTTCTTTGCATTTTATTATTTTATCATGTTATAAAAGAAAAAGGGCCCTACCATTTCAGTAACCACATGATGAAGATTATCCAGAACATAAACGATTTTAAAGATGAGGAAACTATGAAGATGAAGGCATTTTGAGGAACATTATATTATAGTCTATCAAATCAAAATGGAGCAAGATCAATTTACACCGGTATAAGAACAAAAAGTCTTACACAAAATCTTAACAGTTGATTTTCGTAAATCTAACAGTCGTGATTTATTGAGTCACACTCATTAAATAATTATTAATTTCCAATAAATCATAACTGTTAGATACACTAAAATCAACGATTAAAATTTGATGTAAGATTTATTATTCTTACACTGATATAAATTGATCCTATACCCATGAAAATATGTGGAACTTAAGAAAAGGTCTATGGAATAAGCTCATCACAGTTGAACATCAACTCATTTTCATATCTCTGCAGAACAAACCGCTCCTCTGGAACTATAATGCTGGTAACAGTACATCTCATGTCAGAGAAGGGTTTTCTACAAGTCCTCCCTGCTCGGTGAAGATAATCTATGGCAGTTCTAGGCAGATCAAAGTTGTAAATGTGAGACATTTCTGGAAGGTCAACTCCTCGGGCAGCTATATCTGTCGCCACTAGGAGATAGCCACCTCCTTTTCTAACCTCCTGAATGAAAGAGACAGCAAATGGTTGTTACCATCCTTTTTTATCGCCCAATTTAACTTGCCATTTACTCACAAAATACATATTTAAACAAGCATACTTCTGGCATACGGTTGTCGTACAAGGCTTAAGTAATATTTTGGTGAGAAGGTTTCATTCCACAAAAGCACTCCCATTAAAAATCTGGCAAATTTTGAAGCCAGGGATTGGCGTAACTCTTAACTAAATTCACCCCACTTGTAGTTAATGTCACCTTGAGGATAAACATGATCCTCAGCCAGTCCCCATCTCAGAGTTCCCTTTGAAATTTGGTTGAATTTTTTTTTAAACCCAATGCATCAATATCAAAGGTTTTATTAAAATGTTGTCTGCGTTACCTAGACTAATATACTTGCTGGTTTCCAGTAAATCCGGTAGGAACAACCATTTCAATTTGGTTATCAGAACAAGATTTGTTTCAAACTCAGCTATAAGGTACATAGTATTATTCACTGACGGATGACTGTTAAAAATGAATTAAGATATCAATACCCAAAAAGAAACCTCCTACTAATATCAATGACGTCATGAATGACACTTACCAACAGTGAAGCTGCTCTTGCATTGAAATTCATGTCATCCTCGAGAAGGAGGATATCTAATGAACCTTGATATGATGTCTTCAGAAAGTCAATCACAAGGGATGTAGATGGAGCATTTCCAGCCTTTTTCGACTTCTCAGACTGCATAACAGAAAATGCTTAAATTAAATTTCATTCCACTCCCTGGGCACAACCTACTGATTGCAAAACCCAATTAATGTAAAATCATTCATTGCATAATCTAATCAAAAGAGGAGGAGGAGGAGGTGATAATGAGAAAGATATTCTCTGCATACCTGCTCACCAACAAATATAATGCCAGACTCAGGTGCATCGGATTGTATCAAGGATAACAGGGTTTGTAGTTTTCTTTTGGTATCACACATCTGATGATTGAAGTAGCATTAGAAACTTAGTAATACCTATAAATAGTACGTATAAAAACGGGATGCTTCCAAGGCCAAAGGGTGGCAGGCAAACATGCTATCAACGCATTTAAAAAAAAAAAAAAAAGACATGGATGAAGGCTTTTTTTTATTATAGAAAACTAGCAATACATGAAATTTCTTCAACACTCAAGTTTTCTTACTATAAATCTATGATATAGGCGAGATGGCATGGGTTCTACTGCACTGACATGAATATGGACCACATCACTCTGTAAAACAAATAAAGAAGTCAGAGTAAAATTTTAAGGTACCTCAGACAAACAAATAATCAGATCGGCATACCTTAGTCCATTTCTGCTGCACAGAGTCATGAAGAAATCGTTTGTGCTGTGGTATAGATGCACTGGCAAAAACTGTCTGACGTTTATTGCAAGATGAATATGAAGTCAAAATCTTTCGAAGAGAACTCACTTGCTTTGAAGAATTGAAAATGAAGTCAACCTAAGCAGACAAGAATGTGAAAATCATAAGGAATAAATACTAGCAAAACTGCTCGGGGACAGAAGGAAAAACAAGAAGCTGGCAGGGCTTATATATTTCCAGGTCTTACAATTTTTGTATTTCTAAACTTATAATTTCCAAAAGGTATGAACACAGCCTCCCACTCATGAAAATGTGGAAACAATGAAATCTAATGTGCTAAATAAACACTTTTAAACTGCCTTTAAATTACATCACTTGACTTTTTCCATTTCTTTAAACGGATTAAATTGCAAGAATAGATTAGAATGAGATGACTAACTACATGACATTTTCAAAGCAATTATAGTTGGATGGTGGTGCAGTCATATGTTTCAAAAGACACACACACAGAGAAACACTGAAAACAAGACAAATCTGGAAATCAGCTTTCTTACCTTTAACGGTACAAATATATAATTACTGAAAAGTGTGCAAAGACTAGCTGATTTAAGTTGTAAAGACCAAAATTTTTACCTCATCAACAACCAGCACTGGCACAGTTTCAAGCAAAAAAATTTGTTTTTCAAGCATTTGGCATAAACTCCCAACTGTCGCAACCACTACTGTTGGAGGCTCTGCCTAAAATTTGAGAAAGTTAAACCAAGCCTGAATGAGCAGGAAAGGAATCTTCTCTACAAGACTCAATGCTGTCAGTGTTCCGTTAAAGAGAAGATAAAAATCAAGGTGAAAGGAAGTGGGCTTCAACCGGAAACATAATATATCGTTATTATATCACATATGTAACAGGTTTAAATGAGTTGCATTACATAATTATTACAAATTTTTAAGAATCAAAGCATAAACTATATATAATATATAAGAATTAAGAAGGATTACACTGACTTTTAGGAAACTAAAACCATCTCCCTACCAAGGCCTAAAACATTAAAATACAAGGAATTAGTTGGTCTGTAATGCCTAATCTTTGATGTCCATTCACTAACCATTTGCATTATAAACATATAGACAATGCAATATATTTCACAGTTTCTTGGAGTTTATTAATTGGGCTAAACAGACAATAGAAATAAGAGAATATTCCTTTCCTTCTATATCACATTTTGGCCAATGGCATGATCTACAAGGTTAGATAACAACTGCACTCAGTAAATATTGTCTGTAAACAATTACAACTGCTTAAATAATCCAATTAACTTTAAGCTTTTAAATGGTAATTCATGATTAAATAATCTTTAGTATTTGTAGAATATACCAAAACATCAGTATCATAAAATTAATTGACATTTGATAATCTATAATTCAAAGTATTCTGCATCCATTGACGAATGAATTGCATCACTGGTAGATATTGTAAGAGTCAATAAAATTGTATCTGACCGACAGAAAAGCGTGATAAGCAAGCAGCAAGTTCATATATTTCTAATAATCTCAAAATGATTAAATAAAAGGATATCCTGTAGTCTTCACTAGAATCCAAAAATTGCAGCAGAAACCATTTGTTAGTCATCAAATATATTTGGCTAAAAGTACAATAAAACTCATTGAAGAAAAAGAAGGGATCTACCTTTAACCAACTCTTGTGCCTTCTCAATGTTCCTCCATCTAACAAAGCCATGATGGTATATGACTTCTGCTCCCCCTCAACTCCAGTTGGCTTTGCTGCCAACATCCTAGCAACCTTAGTGACCTTGTCATTAAATTTTTTTTGCACTTAATGATTAGCCCTTTTCAAGGTAATGGTCACTATTAACATCATAACTCATAAACATTCTTACTTGCATGCCAAGTTCACGGGTGGGCACCAAGACCAGTGCTTGCACAGAAGATTTTCCAGTGTTGATGATGGAATAGATCAAAAGCAGGTATGTAAGCGTCTTCCCAGAACCTGTCTAGATAAGAAATAAAATAAGGTTAAAGATCTCCATTTTGTTATTTCACAATAAATGTGTGTGCAGAACAGGCGAAGATGATTGGACAGGAAGAGGACTGAGGAAGCGGGACAAAAGTGGTAGGATATATTAAGAGAAAAGTATAATAGAAACTGCATAGAACTGTCATGACAGCAAACTAGTAACCAAACAATCACAACACATTACCTATGTAAAAAGATTTCTATCATCTAAGAACTGAATCAATGGAATTGTAGTTTAGTGCAGGCCAAGCAAGATAGCCCCAACTTCATAACAAGGGAGCATAATCAAGGCTTGCAGTAAAATGCAATGAAAAACTACAAAATACAAAGTACAAATACTTCTGTAAGGTGAATGGATTTAACTCAATATCAAGGCACACATAAACAGGGAGTAGTTTGGTTTGAAACTCAATAATTTAGAATTGCATTTCCTCAAACATTTGGAGATGCTGTTGTCATCCACAAAATTTAATAACACTAAATTCAAAATGTAATTGATAATTTGATATAGTAAATATTTATATGTATACTAGTTCTAAACTCTAAAAAGAAGACTTGCAGTTTTCCAGCTGCGCTTTTGGTGAACATGCAAATGAATTAGATGCTCAATCTCTGAAATCTATTATGTTCATCTTTCCTTCATTCTATATCTTAACAAATTATTTCCCTTCCAATCTAAGTTGTTCTTCTCTCTCATTTACTCACCTTGGTTAGGGATTGAGCCTTTTTCCCTACTTACCCAACATCCCCTCAATATATAGGCGTATGAGGAAACTCAACACACATAACAAATTAGGGATGAAGCCTAAGCATAAATAGTATTCATTCTTATTGCCACATCAACAGAGATCAGAACATGAGTAAGTAAGAAAAAAAAAAAAAAAACACTCAAAGGTGCAAATTTACCTGAGCATGAAGTATGCAGTCACGCCCAGAAAAAAGATAAGGCAATGCTTGCCTTTGGATATCTGTAGGCATGACATATCCAATCTCTTCCATCCTGAAACATATTACAGTACCCAAAACACTTTATTCATGTAACCCCAACCAAAAAATAAAAATAAAACACACACACACATATTAAGATAGCTCGCTTAAACTTTTAGACACCCTGTAACAACAATTTGGGCGCATAAAGTGTAGCAATCTGTTGAAAAACTGGAAGAAAAAAAAAAAACTCAAACCAGCAAATTCTTTGACAATAAACAATAGTAAAGACAAATTAGAACATTTAGAAAGAGAATAATGCAGGAAAGGGAAAATATTGTAATTGCCTTTGCAATACATGGTCGGGAACATGAGATTGGCATATTTCTCTGAGAGTGGGATTGGGAGTGGTCACTGTATGAGTAATGGGAGAAGGATTTACAATGGCTTGTGGTGTTCTGGACTTGGATATGCGGTTGAGGTTAGTGAAAGATAAGAGTCTGAGAAAATGGTTATGTAAATGAGGAATATAGCAAGCTCGAGTTGGGTTTTCAGGTGACAGAACACGCAAAGTAGCAAGACTCGAGGCCGAGAGAATTTGAGTGTCCATCTGTAGTGAAGATAGATGATCACCAATCACCTTCACCCTCTCTGATTGTTTGTTGCGAGTTGCGACCCAATGCAACCAACAACTACAAATATAAACAAAAATTGAATGTTTATCCAAAGAAAAAAACGAATTGGGCTGGGCTGGGCTATATAGTCTAGGATAGTTTCAACTTTGCTCCCAGTAAGAAATTCACCAATCTGCTTTGCCTCCACTAGGGTGAGTTCAGAAATTCTCACTAGTTCCCTTGATGTCTGAGAATTAAATATATAAGGATAAGAATATGTGTTTAACTTTTTCCAGTATTGTTTTTTTGAGAAAGATTTAAAGACTTAATTTTGAGACTCATCCCGAATTAAACTAATTGTAAAATGATGAACCAATTAAAATATTTTAAAAGAATAAAAGAATTGACTCGTATTTACAAATGGGAAAGGATATTCTAACAACCAACTAGTGTTACTATCAATGTTACTACCAATCAATTTCACCATCAGATCGATTATGTTGATCCAACGGTTATATTTATTTTCTTCTTTATATGGTTATGATTTCTCATATTTAATACTTTATATTTATTTCCATCTTTGTACGGTTATGATATGAGAAATCATAACCATACAAAGATGGAAATAAATATAACCGTGGATTAACATAATCAATCTAACAGTGAAATTGATTGGTAGTAACACTAATTGCTCGTTATAATATCCTACCTTTTTACAAATAGGTTGAAATAATTAATTTTTAATATAATGAAATAATTTGTTTAGGTGTAGATTGATTGAGTGGGTGTAGAGGGAATAAAATCAATGAGGGAATTCAGGGTTTAGGAGTAAAAAGAGTAGAAGCATAATAATTAACTTACTTTAGGGAATTCAATAAAAATAATATAACTCGACTAGTAAACCTAGGGGTGTCAATATGGGTTGACACGACACGAATTCGACACGACACGAATACATCAATACGAATTTTCATTCGTGTCAAAATCTTCAACACTGACACAACACGAATTTTTTGCGGGTTGACACGACACGACACGAATAACACGCAAAATAGGGGACAAAACGGTAATTGACAAAAAAATTTAAAAAAATAGATCGAAAATAAATAAAAAATTAAAAAATAATAATAAAAAAATAAAATAATAATAATTAAAAATAATACGGGTCGACACGAACACGAATTCATAAACACGAACACGACACGAATTTTTTGCGTGTCATTTTTTCCAACACGAACACGACACGAATTTTTTTACAGGTCAACCCGAACACGAATTTTCGTGTCGTGTCGCGGGTTGACCCGCGTGTCAAAACCCATATTGACACCCCTAAATAAACCCGATAAATAACAACAGATTGACAACTAATAATTAGAATTCAATTGTCAAATTTATAGGGTTGAATGAGTTAATCCATTAGGTTGGACTCATTTTGTCAGATGTTGAAAACAAAAAAAATATGTGACACAATGTCGGACAAAAAAATTTAAAAGATAAAAAAAAAACCCTGATAAATAAATCATTAAAAGAAACTTTGATGGTGAGCTAGTTTGATATTCAACGGTAGGCTAGCGGTGGCTTTGGTTCAACCTTCAACCATGGCTGTACGAGTTTGACCTTCAACGGTTGTTCTTGTTCAATCTTCGACGGGGGGATAGTAGTGGGCTCCTTGGTCAGACGAAGTCAGCTCCCTCCATTTTAGTTTATGTTTCTTCTCTAGAGTTATTTGACTTATTTCTTTTTTCTTTTTAATTATAATGGGTTAATCTACATGTCAATTTTGATTCAATATACTTAATTATGAACTAATTAAGTCAAGTTAAAAAAAATAAGTCAAGTTAAAAAAAACCACAAGTTTTTAGTAGTGAATTCTTATTTTTCCTAACAGTACTTGACCGTGTTTTAAATTATAAAATATAAATAAACAAGGGGCAAAATATTTTTACAAGAGAATAAGAAATTTTATACCAAATTTTTATTATTAATTTGTTTACATCTAACGGTTAAAACATCTAATAAATCAAAATAATTAGATATAAATAGAATCAACGATCAAGATTAAGAATATAATTTAGTGTAAAATGATCCTAACCCAAACAAATATAAGAATTAATATTAAGAAATTTAAGATATTCTAAAGTCTAAACTAATAAATTAATTTATATTCTAGATTAATTTAAAATATTATATTATATTATATTTTCATATTTTTTAAATATTTAACCATATATATTTTAAAAATTTAAAACTATCAGACTACTTTCTATTCCTTAAGTTAACAATAATAATATCCACACAAAAAAAATTTAGAGGGTGTTAGGTTTGCTGTTCGATTCCATGTAATATCCAAAAAAAATAAGAAATGGAATGATATGACACATACACATATAATTTTGATTATTTTGTTACATGTGATATCGTCTCATTTTATATATACTCATATTTTAATCTAATCGCCATAACAAATGTGAGAGATATGAAATAAGATACGATGTCTAAAAAATATTATAAAAATGTTGTTATAAAAATGTTGTAGTGTAAAATAATGTAATGAAATATAAAATAAAGATAATGTTGTTATTTAACAAAAAAAAGAAAAGATAATGTAGTCAATGTAATATATAAACCATGTCATCCCATAATCACATATTTAAAAGTGATTTTAATTAATATTTATATATTTGCTATATCAAATTTTTTTTAAAGAATTTAAACATAAATTATCTTATTACAAACCCATCTTTTTTTTTTTGGTAAGCATTGCAAACCCATCTCTATCAAAATATAGTTTGTTAATTTATTTAAGTGATAAATTATGGATTCATTCTTTCTAAAGTTACTTTAAACAACTTTGTCTAATGTTTATTAAAATAATGTGAAAATTATGATATATTTATAATTTTAATTTATTTCAGGATTATAATAGTCTTTATAATTTTAATTTTTTAACCCAAAATAATATGGTTTCGATGAACATTAGACAAAATTATTTAAAGTAATATTTGATATTTTTTCCTATAAATTATTATATTTATACTTTTTTCATACCTATTTTACCTATTTGTCTTCAATATCTTTAGATTTAGTTAGAATCTTAATTAATATTTACTATTTCTCTTTTATTTTATAATTTTAATCTAATGATATTGAAAATTTAATAAATAAGGTAGAGTACAAATCAGCGGCAATACAGTATAGAAAAAAATAATTGGAGTTAGCGTTAAAATGGAAAACAATCCCAAATGATAGTAATTATTTATGTTAAGAAACGATTAGATAATAATTGATTTGATTCGATTTTGTCAAAATCAAACCGTCCGATTCGGAACTTTCCTACGTTTTCTGCTTTTTCCTTCTTTCTTTTTACAATTCCGTTGTTTTTGACCTTTCGCACACTCACTCACCCCTCTCCATCTTTATACGTTTCTTTTGTTCTTCGCGGTTCTTCTTCTCCACCACTGTGCTGCTATCTATCCATGGCAAATTTCACCTCCTCTTCTCCTCCTCCTTCTCCATCTCTACCACACATTTCAGCTCCGTCATCTTCTGCGCCTTTCGACGACAGTTCCGAGGACGCCTGCAGCATATGCCTAGAGCCCTTCAGCACTGATGATCCCGCCACCGTATGATCCGTGTCACACTCTTTTTTTTTTTCTCTCTTACTCATTACCTTACTTTGTTGTATTTTTAGTTTGTGCGTCTGGGTTTGTGGAGAAGTTACAAACTTGAATGAATGGTCCCATTCCTCGGGCTTACTGGTTCAGTCGTTTTTGAATTTTCATTAGATGAACTTGTGTGTGATGAAGCTATAGCCTATAGGTTTGCTACATGGACTGTTGTTCTGTTGGTTTTTGTCTAATTGTTAAAAGTTCCATTCTTGTTGGGGTTTTTAAAGAGGATCTGGGACTGGGTGTGTGTTTCTGATAGGTTACTAATCTTTAGGTTTAAGAGATTGGTATGGTTGGGAATTTGATATATATTCACATATATATACTCTAATGCAAATCCTGTGGAAGTTCTTCCATGCCATGGTGTCTAATTTAATCAGCATAAGGAATGATACACATAGAAGCAACAAGAAATAAACTGACACACAATGTGCATATTTGCAGCTGTGTTATTTCATCTTATTCTGCTCCAATTAATTTAACATCTTGATTTAGATGGGTATTTGAGGATTAAGATTGTTAAAACCTGTGAATATTACATATTTTAAATCAACGAGATGTTTTTTTATCTCGTTTGTCAAACTTTATAGGCACTCATCTTATGTCTAAGCTAGTCATGTTATCATGCTTTATGTGTGGATGGGTTGCAACATGCAAGCTGAAGAAAGTCCAAATGAAATTTTGCAATCTGTAGTTAAAGAATTAACGTCTAAATCTAAACGTTGAGAAGAGTATATTGACATTTTCTTTTTCAACTCCAGATTACCAGTTGCAGACATGAATATCATCTACATTGTATTCTTGAATGGTAAGCCTACTTGTCCAATAGATAGATCGTGTTTTTTAGGATTTTTTTAGGACACGGGAAATGATGTGATTGTCTGTTTCTAACCAAAAACTTTTTCTTTTCTTTAGGTCACAGAGAAGCAAAGAGTGCCCAATATGTTGGCAGTTACTTGTCATGAAAGACTCTGCCAGGTATGAATTTTCTGTTTGAAAACTTCTGCATCCTTTTCTATTTTCGCGCCAACCCTCGCCTCCCTCGCCTGACTCTTTGGTACATGCCTTTTGATAGTGTGCTATGTAGTTTGGACTTTTAATCAATCTTCCATTTTCATTTTTATTTTGTAGCCAAGAGCTTCTAACTGCTGTGGAGGCTGAAAGACGCTTAAGATCAAGAGATGTTTATTCATATCCATTCACTAATTCTCGTAGCTCCCTTGAACGGCTTAATGATGACCATGTGCGTGATATATCTAAGATTTGAAAATTTTATTCTGTTCTGTTTTATTAATGATTGTTTGTATGGGTGGGGTTGAATCATTTCACTGATTTGAGGAAAACATAACATCGTTTATTGATGCGAGGCAAATTATTCTGTTACAGGGTGATTCTAGTTCAGATTACTCTCACTTCGATGAACAACTTATGCAGCACCGAGTTGCTGCTGCAAATAGAGCTCATTATGTCACCACGCGGGAAAGGCAGAGATCTTCTGGAACAGGTTCATCAGAATTTATTGCTTTTAACTCTTCTGTGCATGCTTCTGGGATGCATTCGATACTTACAACTTCACCATCTGAGGGTAGTTCACCAAGTTCTGGTGTAGCATCTGCTGCTGACTTCCAACCTCCACCATCTGCTTTTTTCCCTGTTAACATGGTTGCAGGAAATATTACTTCTGAGAGTGATGCCCCTTTCAAACCCAGGTATAATGCAGTGCAATCAGTTATTTATCAGGAAGCTTATGCCTTTCCTCGAGTATTCACTTATTGCTTTCTCATGCGGTTCCTTGGTCATGTTCAGAGTTCTCTACGGCCTGCCACCACCTGAGAGTGCCAGGAGACTAAACACTTCTGAGATGTTGTCCTTACCCGAGTCCATCAAATCCAAACTTTCTGCTGCTTCAGCGAGGTAAACATGTTTGTGCATGAATTCTTGCATGCTCCTGTTAGAATCCCTTTGGTGCTACTGCTAATATATATATATGAAATATTGTAACAGGTATAAGGAATCAATCTCAAAAAGTACCCGCGGTCTTAAAGAGAAGTTAATTGCTCGTAATGCCTCAGTAAAAGAGCTGAGTAAAGGTGTTCAGCGTGAGATGAATGCAGGCATCGCTGGTGTTACACGAATGATTGAACGCCTTGATCTTACCTCAAAACGTTCCACATCTCCTCTCATCCCTGTCTCTACTCATGGGGGGACTTCAAGCTTCCCTATGGAAGGAAAGTTTGTCCAAGAGAATGGTATTGGGCAGTTTTTTACTGAAGAGAGTGGAGTTGTGGTTCGTGATGTTAGTTCAGAAGCTCCTTCTCCCGTTTGTAGCTTGGTTGCTAATGGAGTGGAAATTCATCCTTCCTGTGTTCAGGTTACTCCCTACATCTAATCTTAGTTTTGTACTTTGCAAGAAGTTAAGTGATGCCGTATTTTTTGCATAAATCCATTCACAGTTTCGATGGGATTTATCATCTACTTAAGAAAAACAGAAAAAAAGAAAGGGATTAAAAATAAAAGGAACAAAACAGACACGATTTCAGTGTGACAGGCTTTGTTTGGTATGAACGGGGAAGGAAATGAAGGGAGGGGATACCATAGAAAATAAAAAAGGAAAAAGATAAGAGAAGTGAAGGAGTTTTTTCTTTCCTTGGTATCATTTAATGGAAAAGAAGCGTGTTTTCCTTTCTTTAGTTGGTTTCATCAAGAAAAAGAATGAAAATGTGTTGATAATAATGAGATGAATAAATACATGTGGACTCTCTTCACTTTATTCCCTTCCTCGAGGAATTGTAGGATTCTTTCTACATCCATATCTTTCCTTTTTCTTTTCCTCTCCTTCATATCAAACAAGGGATGAATGATTTTCCCAGTCACACCTGGGCATAGCATTAGCTGGTTACATGTTCGATTTCTTTGGTCTGTTTGCAATTGGGTGCAAAATCATAGTTTGAAAAGATGAATGCTTATGGACTAATTTTAAATGATATTTTGCTTTAAGTTGGCTAATTTTTTCTCTCATGTGTATACTTTCATCATTCAGAGTGGACATGATGCTGAGAAGACTAAGCACGGATGGTCAAATCCACCACGCAGGCAGTCTCAGTAATCCAAGAGGCCTGCAGTGCAAGAGACGACTTGTTAACCAATGTGTCTGTTGGTATGCGTCCTGCATTTGTTTTGGTCAATAACTTGTAGGAATTTTTTTTTTTTTTTTGGTGGATGTAGGAATTTTAATTATATATTATAGACTTCTGTTGGTGCTTCGTATTTAGTTCCTAGAAATATGGCATTGTCAAATTAGTAATATAGTGGATCAATTATAGAAAACATTTTCTAATTCATATATTATAAGGGACTGTTTAGTTTTGTATCAAGTGTGAAAAAAAAAAATTGAAATCATTTTCGTAGTTTTCCCCTTCTTCCAAGATCAAGTTCCCAAAATCCCTGCCATTCATGTTTAATAAATGTATCTATCGATAAAAGAGTACAAAACAATGTGACTCACGTAAACTTTATTCATCTTTAACACCATATATTATATAACATAAAATATACATCCAAACGAGTTCGTTGTTCATCCTTATCACATCATAACCTAGTAGTCTCGCTAATACTGCTTATTGACGGAGGCGTAACTCATAAAACCGGTTTAATAGTAAATATGCAAAAAGGCACGATAGCATGCGGTATTAAGCATTGACGATCATCCCTCCTGCAAAAAAAAACCCCAGAATCGGTAAGCAAGCTTTCAGAAGTTACTCGTGTGAAAAATATAATGACGAGGCAGATACCATTTGGATGGAGGACTTGGCCAGTAAAGTAGGAAGAGTCCTGAAGGGATGCCAAGAATAAATAACATGGTGCAATCTCAGAAGGCTGAGCTGCTCGCTTCATTGGAACATCAGAACCCAAGTTCTGGATCATCTCAGGAGGCTTGGTAGCAGGTTGTATTGGCGTCCACACTGGACCTGGAGCCACAGCATTCACCCGAATTCCCCTGCTCACTAGTTCCTGAGCAAGAGCTCTAGTGAGAGCCACAATGGCTCCCTTTGTGGCCGTGTAGTCCAGCGATTCTGGATTCCCACTGTAGGCATTAACTGAAGTTGAGTTGATGATGGAGCTCCCTTCTTTCATGTGCTTCAGAGCATGCCTGCACAATGTACAATCATTCGGGTCATGATATGTTTTGACTCTTGTCTAAATTCAAAACCAAAATCCATGTTGGATTTTCTATACTTGACCAAGAAGAACTGTGAAAAGATATTGGTCTTGAAGACCCTTTCAAGCTGCTTTTCAGTGATTTCCTCTACTGAGTTTCTCAAATGCTGCTCGGCTGCATTGTTCACTAGAACATCAATGCGTCCGTATTCTTTCACAGCTAGTTCAACGACCTGTTTGCAGTTCTCATCATATCCAATATCAGCCGCTATTGCCAACGGTTCTTCTGCATCGCTTGTCTTAGCTTCAAGCAGCATCTTCAAAGTATCATCCTTATCCTTGTCCTCGTGACCCTTCACGTATGTAAAAGCCACGGTTGCACCCTCTTTTGCGAAACACAGGCACACCGCTCTGCCAATCCCTGAGTCACCGCCTGTCACCAACACCACCTTCCCCTGCACATATAGCCACACCAATAATAAGCCAAACATGCATCTAAAGAATTTATAAACAAGAAGCATGCATATACAGCTAAAATATGCAGTACTCAAAAATTAGAAAACACGTACTCTTGACACAATAAAGTAATAATTTCTTGCTTAACACGAGTTAAATTATGGTGCCTACCCGAAGCTTATTGGAGGGCTTGTAGTCAGGATTTATAGCTTGTGGGATTGGTTCCATCACATGCTCTTTGCCTGGCTGAGTTTCCTGGCTCTGAGGTGGGAACTTAGCTTCCTTGCTCGCCATTTTCAGAATCATAAACAGATTGTGAATGAAACTTTATGGTACTTGAAGTTGAGTGTATGGTATGAGGATATATAGATGTTTTGGACTTTTGGGTTAGAACTACGTGTTGTTATGATGAGGAGAGGTCTACTTTGTTGGGATGAGTAATGTTCCCAAAGCAGGAATGGCTGCCAAGTCGAATGTGATGGCGTGCCACGTAGAAGTACATGCTGCCAACGTGTCATATGTCCTTACAAGGTCCTTGGTCAAACGGTGGAGTTCAGCACCTTGTGTGAGATCATAGAGATAACGATCAGTTTATGGCAGATTTTACTATAACTAATGCATGAAAAACGAAAAAAACTTCAGGTCTGTCCCAAACTGGTCTCTTCGCCAGAAACCTTGACATCAGATAGAGCTTGCTCCCTGTTAAGACGAGCCTTAATCTTTCCATCTACTACATATACATATGCTCACGAAAGGCATAATAATAATAGCTTTGTATTTATTGTGCATAGACCAGTGTCTTGGGGCTAGCCTAACTTCTGGTCCCGTTACTCTAATTAAGACTATACTTAACATTTAAAAGCACACAAGGTAGTGTCCTTTTAGTGACTTACAGTCATATTCTGTATAATTCTGAAAAGTTACTTTTTTTCACTTTACACGTCAGCGATATAATAGAAAGAGAAAAAAAAGCAGCTTTTCAAATTTACTCAAAGTATGACCGGTCATACTTTGTGTAAATCATCTAAAAGACACAACTTGTATCCTTTTAAATGATAGTCTTTTTTCCCATACTTAAAACATCTGGTGAATTGGTCTAAAAACCACGCTGAACCAGAAATTATAAAAAGAAAGCATACTTTTAATTTTAATTAATATGTTATACATGTAAAGCCTTTCTCTTTAAATATAAAAATTTACGAGCTTAAAAATAATTTGACAATGTTAAATATATTTGCTTTGCTATTTATTGTTATTTGGTAATTTCTTGGATGCTTTATATCCATATTTCATTTGAACCCAAGGGGAAAAAAAAATCCATTTTGACTAGCAGTCAAGTTGGTTGAAACGGTTAGACCATCAATTTCTAGATTAATTTTTTAAAACGATTAGTATAAAACAATTTCTCTCAAGCACGCAGAGGACTAAACAATGCTCATGTGGCTCCAACCTTAATCAAAGAACAATAGTTAAAATACCTTTGAGATCGAGTTCCAAGCAAAACTAAATCCTTCATAAGCTTTTATGGAAGCTATTGTGGAAGCTTCTATAAAGACACATGAATCAGAAAGAAAAGAAAAAAGAAAAAATGGAAATGGAAAAACAATAAGCTTTTATGCCATCAAAAATAGAAGAATTCTAATTCATCAAGGTGTTATCATATGCTATCCAGACATAAACATTTATAATTTATATAGTAATTAATAATACAATTGTGCTGGATAAGGGTGGAAAGGGACCAATAGCATCATATATGGCCTAATAGAAGTAGCCCAAAAAATTTAACAAAAAAAAAAAAGTAGTAGCCCAAATTCGCCTCTTTCAATCGGCTTAATAACAAACCTGTTAGAATAAACAATACCCTTCAATTGTATAGTAGACCCCACAGCCTACGAGGAATAGTGGCGATTGGACGTGTAGATCCCATCATGCCCTGCGACACCTTTGGAGATTCTCTGTCCACGCAGTCATAACGAAATAGATCTATAATAGCCACACAAATAACGAATTCAATCCCCTCTAGCCATAAACTTATTGATATTATCCTTGTAACTTGTAAGTATGAAGATATCAACTCCTGTTTATGCACCCTGAAGAGATAGCTTAATGCATCAAAATAGACAAGATACATCAACCTTTTGATAATCATAAGATGACACATTGAAATCAAATTAAAATTTTAAACTGAAAGACTAAATTTAAACTGATTATTAATTTTCATAATTACTCGGGTGAATAGTAAATTAATCCTTCTCCTCATCTTCCATGTTTTTCATTTTACGCTTTTAGTACACGCAGCATTGTGCTATTTTTGTTAAGTCCATAAAGGAAAGCAAAAATTCCATTTTGCGAAAATGAAAAAAATAAAAACAAAATAAAATAAACTCGATTCTGGGGGCAAGGACTTGTTTGGAGTTGGTTTTTGATCATGTGGACCCTCGAACTCTCATTTATGTATAGCGAAGATGAACAAATTAGGTTTAGTGAAAGAACAAAATTGCATGTGCGAGGGCTTGACTGTTACGGTTAGGCGTTATGACTTATCCTCTCATTGGGTCCTCCTCAGAAAAATAAGGTCACGGATGATCTTGTTATACAATTGCAGTATCCGAATGAACACGAATAGTATAAGAGGTCTGTTAACAAAATCTCTTGAAAATAGAAATTGGAAACCCAGAAAATTTGGACACTTATGCATGCAATCATATTATCATATACACTTTGTCAACGATGCTCATAGAATCGAGTAAATGAACATTAACTATAAATATGTGTTACAATTTCATATTTATAGTGCCTTTTTCCTCTGGATTGTCTTCCACAAAGCAAATTGCTCACTTTTATATTCATTATACAAATAATAATAATAAAATTCTCTGTTTTCTTTTATACAAGAGGTCTTTTAAGATTAGAGAAAGAATAAGTGAAATTGTTTTGATAAACTACGTGTTGAGATTCATAGGGCCAAGTTCTCAACTCTCCAAAAATAAATAAATTAATTAATTGAGTGCCATTTAGCTAAAAAGTTATTAGCTAAATTAAAACTACAAAGTTTGAACAATTTTATGAAGAACGAGCCATTATATAAGAATCGAACAACTTAACTTATACTTGCTCATGGTGATTCTATTAGCATGTCAAAAGATTTTCCTAAAATAAACTAAAGAAGTTACACGTAAATAGATAACTTTGTATAAAATGATTTGATATTTAATTCTCGAGTAACTACTTTTTTTTTTTTAGCGAAGAATTTAGTGAAAATGTTCTTTGCCTAGGCTAATTTGCCAGTACTTGCAATTTTTGAGATACAATCGTTAATTGCTCACCTTTATAAGTGGATATAAGTGTCTAGCCATAAGCATAACATAATGAGTGATTTGATTTGATGTTTCTTCGAATTTCCATCTTACAAAATACATAATGGTCGTACAAATTAAGTGGATATACATAGGAAAACATAAAGCAAATTCGAAAGAAATACAATCTAAACCAGAGAGCAACGAATCGTGCTTCTCCACATGGGCGAAGGGTTACAAAACCTTGCTATAATAGACTTAAAATTATAAATGGCATTCCCATGTACATAATGATCTATTATATATAAATCCTTGAAATTAACCATAGAATTATTGCCTAAATACTAAAGAATTAATTAGACCCATAAATAATTTTAAGTTGGCAAAGTGATTAATCAGTAGAACTTTGTAAAGCAATGCTGTTTTGCATAAGGATATATATATATGGGGCAGGTTATATTTACAAACTTTTTTGTTTACAAACTAGACTATGTAGGATCGGTCCTACATTAATCACAAAGTGTACGACCGGTCCTACATTAGTGTAATTGCCAAAAAAATTTGTAAACGGATTCTGTTCTTATATATATATATATCCTCAGCCCTTTCTCGGTTCGAGAGAATTTTTTATAGGAACTTGAGAAACCATTCTTGTATCTTGAGACTGCTTCTGATATTTTGCGTATGAACTGGATCTTCCTTTTCTGTTCTTCCTTCTTGGCTGTGTTGACTGGGGAATAAACACGCCTGTTCCTTTGCTTTGTCTTCTCAAATAAGCCTGCTCATAAAATAAAGCAGACTGTGGAGGAGGATGGATTGCTCCAGAGAAAGACTGCAAATTAGTTTAAGCATGTTGAGATCATAAGCATAATGAATAAAACCTCTGTTCAAAACGTTAAAGGAAGGAAGGGTGTGTTGGAGCAGATGAAAGTAAGTACGTAGTGAAAAACCTGAAGTGAGTGTTTAGGGAAACAAGCAAGGGGGTCTTCATCTTCATCCAAAATTAGGAGAGAAATTTGCTTGCTCAAGTCAGCAAAAAATAGATCATCTTCTAGTTCCACAGCAACCTCCATATCTGTGTAATCTAAGTAAGGACTTTAAATTTGAGTTGCTAATCTCCCTGCTGTTTCAACTTTGATGTTTCTTTTCTTATGTTGTCCCAAACGTATTGGATATAAAGGTTTTAATATAGAGAAAAAGGGTAAGTATGAGTGAGTTGAAATGTATGGGGTGCATGTGGGTTGGTGGGGTCATGGTCACAGTTGGCCAATCTGTCTATGACCCACAAACCCCGCTACTAGAATCATTGAAGTGTATTGTATAGTGATATTATCCGGTTGAGTGAAAGAGATAAGGAACAGCACGCAACAACAATTGTCCAGATATCTATTCCAAGATAGATTCAATCTCCAGCATACTTGGTTGTGGATAGTCCTCTCTCTTTCTCTCTCCCTCTCATCTCCTTAATAAGTTATGGCTCATCATCATATTCATAGCCCTGCATAGGTGACAATAAATTATTGTCCCAAAGGTTCTTATCTGTTTGTATCTTCTAGCTGGCTCATGGTTAAGAATAAACCAGCGAGACAAATCTTGTATGTAGCGGTCAGTGAATCTTCATGTTGAACAACTTGTAATGGACCCCCCCAATAGTATCAAGAGATTTTGGAGTAATAGTTCAATGAGGAGAAGGGGTTTGATTATATACCAGTGTCTGATTCGTACAGTGGCAACTCAACTTGCATTAGATTTGACAATAAAGGCTCAATTTATTCCTAACTCTAACTAGTTAACTTAAAAATAGAGCAGGTACCAATGTAACTCATAAATAAATCTTTGGTGATAGTGTTGTACCAAAGATTCAGTACATCCTACTAATAGAAATATTACATATCAGTTAAAGTTTTTTTTTTCTCTGCCAAATTTTCTTTCTCTATGATGTGTAATACTTTTATTGGTGGGATGTACTGAATCTTGATGCAACAGTAGCACTAAAGATTTATTCGTAACTCATATGGAAATATGGGGTTAAGTAAGTAGGGAGAGAATATGTATTCGACTCTCACTAAATATATATTTGAGGAGGGACGAACAACTTTAATTGTGACTAAGTTCGATCGGAATTATTTTATAGTTAACTCAAAGAGTTGATACTTATGGAGAGATATTCAAAAAGTCGACTCGCCTTAAAAAGATAATTAGAGTTTATAAAAATAAAAAAATAAGAGAGGGTGGGTTTAAGTTATTTTTTTAAAAATGATGAGAAGCTATACTTACTTTATTTTATGATGGGTTAACCTATCAATCCACTTGTAGATAAAATCATAAAAATAATTTTGATAAGTCAATTAATCTGAAACTAAATAAAAATAAAGGAAAAAGTATTTGTTCTTTTAAATGATATAACTTGAGTCATTTTACTCTCACAAAAAAGTGAGACCCACACTTTTTTTTTGTCCACTTTTTTTTTTTGTTTATCTTTTTTTTCATTTAAAATGATACAACTTTATATCTTTTTAAATAATATACACTTTTTCCAAAAATAAAAGATTCTATAGGTCAATTCGGGCTGACTCACCTTCCTCATCCAACAACAAAAAAAACTCAACAAGTTAACTAGTCCGTTGAAAGTCTTGCTCCAGAAAAATTCTAAACACCGAATTGCACACCCATCTTAAATCAACATATTTTGGGGGACATAATTTTTAGGGAATATTGTTTCTACTGTCTCATGCAACATTCAACATGTAAAGAAATTGATAAGATCCACTTTTTTTTTTCTTTTTTTAGTGGATCACACTTATTTTTTTTTGTATTGTACGAGACAATTTATCTCATGCGAGGAATAATATTTTCTAATTTTTATGGAATTAATATTTCTCATGTTGTAGGAGATATAAGATAATTTTATCTCCCGCCCATATTTATGTCTGGAGATAAAACATCATGCCAAATTTTTATTATCTGATTGCTATTTGTTCCACCTCATGTTTTGCATATCAACTCTTCATTAAGGAGATGTGCTAATATTGCTAATTCCCCATCAAGATATTTTAAAGCGAACTTAATAATTTTAGAGATGAAACATGGGCAGTGAGAAACATTTAGGCAACTTGATTCCATCAGATATCCATAGTCTAACGGCATAAGATAAAATGGAATTGCCAAAAATGGGCCCATGTGGGCAACAAACCCACACAATCAAATGTTATTTCGCTAGTCATCTATGAATAAGTTTTACAGGGTAAAAAATGTTTAACTTACATGACCGCACAAATATTGAAAACAGGCTGTTCTAAGTTATTCGGAGTAGAAGAATTCATTCAAATATCTTTAGCACCAAAATATTTTTCCTGTGGGTTTGTGCAATTGTGCTTGCATGTGTGTTTGAATGATGAATTGATGATCTATATGCTTCTCTGGTAGAGGAGCCAATTAATACACGCTTCGATATAAAGAATATGTTGATTCTGTTGTAAAGAACTTTTAGGGTAACTACAGCTTCAAGGAACTACACATTTGTGTTGTCTCTATGCGTGTGTAAGCATAATTGCATGTATTTGAATGATGAATTATCCTTCTGCAGTAGACTACCAATTAATACATGCTTCTATGGAACCAAAATGTTGATTCTGTTGTAAAGACCTTTTAGATTAACTGCAGTGTAAGGAACTGCACATGAACTGCACATTTCATCAATGATAAGTTATGTATTTTTCAGAAAACTGAGCTCCTATTTTGTGATTACGTGACAGTAAAGATTCATTCTGATATTCATAATGATTAATAATCTAATACTTTTCCAACGCCTTTATGGATTGGCATTTTGTGCTGTAAATTGGAACGTAATCCGGATTGATTGTATTCTTTCAGGTTTAGGGTGGAGAAGCTAGGTTAACAACTTTAAGCAAGTTATTTCCTCTTATGGGAGATAAGAAGAGCCTAGTCTCTGCAGAGGAACTGGCCAAGGTTAAAGGAAAGGCATCACTATTAGCTGCTGTTGATTATTATGTGAGCATGCACAGTGACATCTTCATTTCTGCTTCTCCCGGCAATATGCACAATGCGCTGGTAAGAATTATTGTTAAATATTTTATTTGAAACTGAACAGTTGTAAAGAATTACATTACGTAACTGCTTATAGGTTTAATATAGCTTTAGCAGAGCTACAATTTGTTTTGTAGTGGTGCAATAAATGAAGTAAATTCCCAAAATTTACCATTTAAACCAAACATCTTCCGCATCTTTAGGTGGGACATCGTGCTTATATGAATCTGAGGACTATCAGACCAAATATGGCACTGTTGGATCAGCTATTTCTGAATAAAAGCATGGGGTTGTTAGAATTTCAGCATATGCACATTAGAACGGACGAGGGCAGATAAGATTAAGAAAGGAGAAGCAAGTGTATAGCTTAATGGAAACAAGTTTTGGCAGTTAGTAAATTGATATTTAGCTTAATTACTTTTTGGGTTCTCTGATTTCACCTAAGTCCAGTTTTTCTCCCCCGAGTTGAAATTGCAGTGGTTATGTTCTGATAGTTTTCGAATTCATGCAGTTCGGATATTGTCATGGAACTCTTTTATGTGAGGTGGCACAATACTCAGCACATGCGTCACCTAATCATTTTATGTTAGGTAAACAGTGCTCATTATATCAAGCTAATATGATAACTTTAAGGTGCATCAATCTGTAACTGATAATTTTGTAGCAACTGAAATAAGGGGCCAAAATTGAAATTTAGAAGTAGGACCAAAAGTGTAACTTATTTTCAGTGTACTATAGCATACAGTTCATTGTTTACATCTCCTGCTCATTTGAACAGTGTGTGATACATTGATCTTGGTAAATAATGTGAGCAAAAGGGCACATAAAAGTTGGGAAGACTGAAAATTTCAAGCAGCAAAGCATATTTGGATGTCCTAAGTTATGCTCCTCCAGCTGTATCCATATCTGCAACCCCATCAACTCCCTTGAAAACAACTCGTAGTTTTCTCAAACATGAGATTTTTTGGTCGTTCTTGCTTGTTGTACCATTCACATGCACAACGTCCTTGGGCAGTTTACCCATGAGGTTAAAAAGAGTTAGACTCAGGTTTGATCTAGTCATTTCTTCCAATACAGGGGGAGCTTGCATGTACAGATTCTTTCCTCGATGTGTTATACTAGCTTTTGATAATCGCAACACAGGATGCTCTTCCAGCAGATCCATGAACTGTTACCACAATTTAATTAAAAAGACGCATCAGAAAGGAACATGCTAAATATGCATCAAGATATGATCTGGTTAAAAACAGCAACAAGAAAACTAAGTTTATTTGTTGAAAAACACACATATATCCTAAGCACACTAGCTTTGTCTGTCGGTCCAGTACTAATTTCACTGATTTGGAGCCATGATGCAAAAAATTCCATTGGTGACACAGATTATATTACCTCTAATTATGGAAATATGTATTTCATGAAATAAGCAAGGCAGATCCTGCCAGCAAAAGAAAGGACTCTTCCCACAAAAGTTCCAAACATTAGCAATTTCCAAAGATCAATGCTTCTTGATAGGACCCACCATAGTTTGGGCCCCAAATGTAGAAATAGGCCCAAGTGAAAATACTGGCTGTGCTGACTCAGCAGAATAGAAAGGAAGCATGGGAGAGCAAGGTGGTTACGACTTACGGGGGAATTGGTTAAAAGGGGAGGATTGGTGCTTGAAAGGATCATCTTGGAGAATATTGTTGGATTGGAACCCTTGGGAGAGTGTTTAGGGGGGAGTATTGATAGGACCCACCATAGTTTGGGCCCCAAATGTAGAAATAGGCCCAAGTGAAAATACTGGCTGTGCTGACTCAGCAGAATAGAAAGGAAGCATGGGAGAGCAAGGTGGTTACGACTTACGGGGGAATTGGTTAAAAGGGGAGGATTGGTGCTTGAAAGGATCATCTTGGAGAATATTGTTGGATTGGAACCCTTGGGAGAGAGTGAAGCCTCTCCAATTGCTTCACAACTATCCTTTACTGTATTTCCTTTACCGTTATACATTTCCAGTCTTGTAATTGTTTCCTTTACTTGTAATTGGTCTCTGTTTACTATCATAGGTTCTGTAATTGCCACTTGATTTCCATAAATATATGAAACACTTGATTATTCAGGCCAAAGAGTTCCGGGTTCTCTGTTATTAATTGATTGTTCCTTATTTTACTTTGAGGTCTGTATCACTTCTCTACCTATTCAACATTCTAACAATTTCTTGTACAGCCATCAATAAAAAAGGGAAAAGGGAAGGGGGATGGATTGAAAAGAAACTCACAATGAAACCTTCAAGACTGTCTACCCCAAAATAATATTTTAAATTCCCCCCAAGAGCATAAAGTTAATGATAAGTAAATGCACTATGTCCATAAGTGCCGAAGACTATAATAGCAAATGAAGACTAGTAAGATCTGAGAACAGGTATATGCAATTGGCATTCCTGCCCATTTTCAAGGTCAGTATGGCTTTATATTATAAATAGCTAGCTACCAAAACAATTTTAAATTAAAATTTCAATACTCTTTATCAAGGAATCTTCAGACCCCCTACAGATCGAAGGAATGGACATTTACTAAATTCCTAATTAATGTATAGAAAAAACTTGAGGAGTTACTGATTAAAATTTTGAAAAATAACCTTTTGCAATGTGATTGAAGGGTCCAGTTCAATTCGTATACCAGGACCACACACAAGACATTCTTTGTCCCTTTCAAATTCTGCCACTTTAGTATGGAGGCCTTCTGATCCATTGTACCTGCATGAGGTATGATCCAATTAATAATATTTACAGCCAAATAGAAAAAAATATAGAAGATAAAGAACACACGTTAAATAGTTTGACAAAGTTTTGCTGCACTCTGTTGCAATCTTCAATGTTTCCAGCGCACATGCAGCTGATATAATTGCATTTGTTGAAGCTATAGCCGGTATGATGTTCTTCACAACACCCTATTAAAACAATTAATTTCTTAGCAAAAAGGAAAATACGCTTGACTATCACAAAGGGAAAACAATAATAAATGACATAAACATCAAACAATTCATAGTTAAGAGAAAACCAAAAAACTATATTGCACACATCAAACAAAAATTCAGAATTTTGCTAGGGAGAACTATAGTATCCCAAATCATCTATATACCTGGGTAAGAGAATAAGTAACTCCAGGAATGCCAAAAAGCTCAGCTCTCTTGACAGCCTATAAAATATAAATAGGAAAACTTGTAAGTTGTAACTGATCAATGGGCCAAAAATGTATATTAAAAGGTCAAGAAACTCATTATGAAATAATAGTTACCTCGTTATAGACCCATTTCATATGCTCAGGTTTATCTGGATCAAAAGCCACTCCACCATGAACCTATACATTAAATTCTGGTTGAGATAATGGATATTACAAAATAACAGAAAGGATGAACATGAATCACCTCATTCCATTTAATTAAGTGAGCATATTCAATACAGTGGGCAGCAGTTCTAGGGGTTTCTGCAAGGGTGCACAGAGGAAACTTCACTTGAGGTGGAAAAAGCCAGATGGTACACTCAAAGCATGGGGTGATCCCGGGCAAGATAACCCTAGCATGGCCCTTGAAACCTTCAGTACCACCATCTACCATAGGTTTGATTGTCTCTTCTCTTGGATTATCATCAGAATCATACTCTAGATTTATCAGTAAAAAGAAAAGGGGAAAAAAAAAAACTGAACATTAGCATAAAGCCATAAACAGTCTGCAGCAAACCTTATGGGAGTGTGGAGGTGAAAATTCACACAGTTGAGTTCAGCATTATATAGAATGAAAATCTTTAGGTCAAATGGCCTGGGAAAACATTATATTATGATAACAACTCAAGTACTAAAACACAACCACCTTTCCAAGGAAAGCAAGCAAAGAGGCATATAAAGGCAAGTAATAACAATTGCAAGTTAAAAGGGATAGAATAGAACCCGCACCTAGAAAACTACAAGCAACAGTATTGATATAGCTCCGTGCCTCAATGGAATCAAGACCAAGGGCAATAATGCTAAAATCATTATAAAAATCAATATCCTTGTCCTCAATCCTGCAAAAATGTGGCACAATATGCACACCACTAATTCTTTCCATGACACGCTTGGCAGCTACCTCAGCTTTTGGTTTGCCAACATCTTCAAGTCTACCACAAAAAGATATAAATAAATCGAATACCCATCTCCCCTTTATGACAAAAAAACTAACGGGGTTACAGAAGTAAAACATATTGAACTTTAAAAAAAAAAAAAAGGTTTACCTGAACAAGAATTGGCGATTGAGATTAGTAACCTCTATGCGATCCATATCAATGACTTCAAGGTTTCGAAAACCAGACAAGGCTAAATCCTTCAACAATTCACAACCCAAGCCACCTGCCCCTACCACCAAAACTTTGGCAAAGGCCTGAAGATCATCTCTCAACTGCAATAGACCCAAAATAAGGAAACCAGAAAACCGAACAATTTGAGGAGATTGAGGAAGAATGAAGAGATTACCTCAGTGCCAGGTTCAAACCTGGGACCCACGAGATTGCCAGGTCTGAGGAGAAGCTTGTCAAGGTCCCTCGATCGGCTCGGTTGAACTGAGATATCTGCCATTGAAGTTGGGTTTTTGATGCTAAAATTCAAAACCCCACTGAATAATTTCAAAACAACATGAAGCCAAGATGCTTGCCTTTTACTCTCTTTTGATATATTTAGAGAGTTCGCAACTGAGATTTTCATTCTGTTACCAAAAGCTCTCTCTCTATATAAAAGTAACGTCACTGGCAAATAATTTTATCTCCCGTGAAATTTACGAATATAAATGGGTCATTCGGTCTATTAAAAATTAGGGTTTTGTTAGAGATAACTTATCTCATGTTATAGAGATAAATTTGTAAGCTTCATCACCTGATAAAATCAAAATAAAAATAAAAAGTGACACAGTTGTAGAAATGTGTGTAGGAAAAAAACTTATCTCACGTAACATGAGAATAATTTTTCCCTCAAAATTATAATCTGTCTTACTTTAAACCTGATGTGTCCTACTCTATTTTTTAAATAAAATAGGTTTAGATTTTTTTTAAAGTCTATTTTAAAATTAAGCCACACTTTAAACAAATTGGCCCAAGAGCCTGCAGACTATTTTTTTAATTTTTTTTAATAATATAATATCAGAAAAATATTTCTGCAATTACTACATATAAGTTATTTTTATTTATTTCTAAAACGACGTCATTTTGAGATTGAAACATTTTATAAAGATCATAATAACCCTGAAATAAATTAAAATTACAAAAACACCATGATTTCCATCCCAAACGACATTAGATTGGGCTTACTGCGGGTAATTAAAAAGCGAACCCATATAATATATTTCTGATATACATTATTCACTTAAAAATATATTTTGAAATTATGATTTATAACACTAATTTTCAAAATACTAGAATTGATATTATTTTAAGAAAAAACTTTATATTCACCCACCGTGATTTTGAGATTTATCATTTGACCTCCTTTGGTTTTAAACTTACAACTAAAACCATAGTAGGTTAAATGGTAAATTTTTTACACGTAGTTGGTCTAAATGGTAAGTTCAAAATCACAGAAGGTTAAATGATAAATCACAAAACCATAACGGAAGAAAATAAAAATTTTCCCTTATTTTAATAAGGGAAGTATATTTGTCCTTTTAAAAGACACATAGTTGTGTCATTTTAAGAGAGAGAAAGATATAATCTAATATTTTTTCTTAAAATTTAAATTTAAAAAATATTCATTTTCTCTCCCATAATTTTCATTGCTTGTGTTTTTTTCTCACTTAAAATGACATATCTCTATGTCTTTTAAAAGTAAAAATACTAAACCCTTTTAACAAATAATAAATATTTATTTAAATTTTAAAATATAATATTAAATTAAATGAATAAAGAAAGTGCAAATTATATATATATATATATAAAAATTTAGGGAAAAACATTTTTCAAGCTGCTTGGGATAAGTTTATCTCCGGCCACCCCAAAACTACGTCGTTTTGATTATTTATTTCCTTATATTTATTGATTCACCTTTGAATAGTTATGATTCCCTTTTTTTTTCTCTTCCTTTATCACCATTGATCCATCTTTGTACGGTTATGATTTAGTAGCCGGAGATAAAGTTATCTCCGGCAGCTTGAGAAATGTTAAGCCCATATATATATAGGGAAGGATTCTTTTGACTTTAGTGCAAATTCATTAGGGGTGTATTGAATTGAGATTTCAAAAGATTTTAATGGATTGTTTTTGGACAAAAAAATCCGTTGGTATTCGATTAGGATTTTAAAGGATTATTTTAGAATTGTCCAAATTTGTTGGTATTCAATCAGCATTTTAAACAATGGAATCACAATCTTGTAATATTCAAAAATTCGACCATTTTAATGGATTTTCTATTGGTGTGGATTTCGTGAGACTTTTTAATGAAAAATATAAATAGGATGTCTCTCTCACAATTTCACTCTACCCTTAGGATTTCTTGAGATTCTTCTATTGCAGTGTTTTCTTCTTCCTATGTCAGGTTGACTACTCGAAATTGGGTTCCGCCATGAGAGCTTCGTCGGAACTCAAAAAAGTAAAAAAAAAAAAAAACATATTTTTAAGCGATTTTCATCACAAAACAACCCAGAAACAACAAACCAACGAGATTTTAATATAATCTATCTCAAAAATAACATATTTTTTAGCCATTTTTGAGAAATTTTGGAAGTTTAAAAAGTGATTTTTCAAACTATGGGTCGCGATTTTTCTTGGCACAAAAACGTGTGATTTTTGTATTAAAAACAACATAAAACAGTGAAAAAATAACCAATTTTTGTTTTACATCAATGAAGCAATATCAATTTAAAGAAAGATTGAAACTTTCATAATATGAACCTATATTTCGTAGCAATACATTCATGAATGAAATTCCTTCACTATAGGAAACAATTTCAAACAATTTTTGTGTCAATAGATAGCTAAAAGCTTGTTTCTCAAAAGCCTCAAAACAATTTAAGGTTTCAATGTATCCATTGAAAATTTTCTAAACTTTCATGTAATTAAACCCAAAATTTCAGATTCAAAATTTCCTTAGAATATTTAATGAAAATATACATATGATATATGGTTAGAAAACTCTCATCACGTAAAACAAAAAACCCAAGGTTTTCAAGATCAATTGCAAGAAATTTCAAATGAAATTTTATCATGAACTTTATGTTCTATATACAAATTTAGAATTATTTTTATAATTAAAAAAATGGGTCTTATAATCATATATGATAGCTTTGATACCAAATAAAGAAGATAATTTTCAACCCATTAGATATGTGAAAAGCCGTTGTTTAGTAATTTTGAATGTTTGTTAAAAATTATATTATTTGTACTAATTAAGAAAATTATTTTAGGTTTTAAATTTTTTTATTAATTTCATTGCATTTCTTTGTTATTTTTTTATGGGGAAGATTATACTTACAACCTATTTTTGTTTACAACATTTTACAATCATATCTTAACCGTTGATTTTCGTCAATCAATGGTTATTATTTTCGCAAATTAAACTCATTAACTAATGTTTAATTTGCAATGAATGATAACCATTGATTGACAGAAATCAACGGCTAAGATATGGTTGTAAAATGTTGTAAACAAAAATAGATTGTAAGTATAACATTTCCCTTTTGTATTGACTCTTGTAATTTTGAATGTTTGTTAAAAATTCATATGATTTTTTGTTATCAAAAAAAAAAAAAATTCATATGATTTTTTAAAATCTTATAAATCCATATTGTACTTTCAAATCTTATAAATTCTATTAAAATCCAATCTTATGAAATCTTGATTGTAAAAAAAGTCTTTTAAAAAAGTCGTTTAAAGTCTCTCGAATTCTAAATAGTCTTTTAAAATCTATAAGATTTTTTAGCTTAAAAAAATCTTTTAAAATCCTAATATGATACACCCCCTAAGTCTTATTCCTCATCCAAACAATTTACTCTGAAGTCAAAAGAATCCTCCTATATATATATATATATGAAAAAAAAACATTTCTCAAGCAGCTTGAGATAAGTTTATCTCCGGCCACCTCAAAACTACGTCGTTTTATTTATTTATTTCCTTATATTAATTGATTCACCTTTGAATGGTTACGATTCCTTTTTTCTCTCTCTTTCTTTATCACCATTGATCCATCTTTGTAAGATTATGATTTAATAGTCGGAGATAAAATTATCTCAATCAACTTGAGAAATGATAAGTCTTATATATATATATATATAGGCTTTAATGTTTCTAAAGTGAATGTAGATAAGTTATTTACATTCGCTCTCAAAACGACGTCGTTTTGAGTTGAAAAATTAAAAAAATATAATGAAAAAGACTATTATAACCCTGAAAAAAATTATAATTACAAAAATACTTTGATTTCTGCCTCAAAACGACGTTGTTTTGGGCTCACTGTAGATAAGTTATCTACATTGACTGTAGAAAAAGCAAACCCATATATATATATATATATTAAATTTTTATGTGATCTTTATAAACATTTTTTCATGTGTTGTTAATGAAAATACTATTTCATGTGATCTTTGTGAATAAAATTTTTTATCTTTTATATTTCAGTTAGGCTTAGGCCTAAAAACTTCAATTTGAAACTTGGTAGGCCTTATAGGCCGTGTTTGACTTTTTAGTTTTTATAATAGGCTAGGTCATATCTATAAATCAAGTCTTTAATAGGCTAATAGACAAGTAAAGGCTTTAAATATTTTATATAGATTTAGGCTATCAAAATCAAAGTATGACACAATCTGGCTTATCTATACGCCTAGTGAGACCCATATGGGGCCATTTGAAGAGAAGAAAGAGAAAAAGAAAACATATGAATTATTACATTTTTCACAGGGTGCTACTTTTTATTCTTCCATGTATCAATGTCCTATTTAATCCGATTATTAATTATTTGTTTGGAAATATACCTTTTTCTCCTTTTAAAAGATGGCTTGTTTTTTAAAATTCAAGATAAAAAAGGATGTAGTTAAGCACTTAGCAAGTTACATGCTTTCAGCAAATTGATTTCGTAGCAAACTAGATTTCACAATTGTTTATAAAAAGAACCAGATTTCACAATTCGCATATGTATCGTATACTATACTTGCATGACGCCTTGATGCACTAGGTTAGAAAAGCGCTACATTGAACTACACAACTCAAGAGTTCCACTTCAGATTCCCTTCCTGCTATGTTTTGTCCTCTGACATAGTTATTTTGTTGAACCAATACTTTAAGTTTTGTCCAATAATTAAAATAGAAAATATGACTTATTATTCTTGTATTGGAGTAAAAAAATCATTTCCTAAATATAATAGAGAAACCCATATTCGAAATTTAATAATTATTTTATTTTATTTTATTTGTAATAATATTTAAATATATTTTTAACTTTCTATACATAATTTAAATAAAAAGGTTTATTATGTTTATTTTGACATCTCAATCGAACACTTTTATGACATGAAAAATGTTTATAATTATTACTCTTTATTTTATTTTATGAAATAATTTTCTAACTCCTAATTAATATCATTTTGATAAAATTTTCTTAAAGATATTATATACGAATCAAAATATTTATTTATATTATATTTCATTTATAAAAAATTTGGTCCAACTTATACAAATATTATTAATATAAACACAAAATAAATATATCTTTAATGAAATTTATACAAATTAAATAAAATGATAATAACAACCTCCAATTAGCCTATTGAGTTATTGAATTATTTGTTGGTTGGTGTAGTATTTGGCCAAGTGGTTTTTGTATGTTGGAGACTTGGAGAGATTTTCTTTCGCTTGAATTGCTGACATTCTCCGGTTCTAACACACGTGAGTGTCTTGAGATAGACAGATGATGTAAAGTTTTTGGGATGTTCTAGCAAAAAACGATGGAGTTTTCTACTTGTAGATCGAAGAATATAAGGAAGGTGTGGTTGATAATGTCGTGAGATGGATAGTTGTGGTGTTACTGCTTGTAACACGGGAGAAATTCATAATCGTATCCACGGGTCGATTTTGACTAGAGAATATTAGAGGTGTTGAACAATAATGTCTAGCTGGAAGAGCTATATCTACGGAGTTTATGATAAAGATGATAGACAATGAAAAATTCTGCAACTTAGGTCAAAATCTGATGGTATGAAAAATGTGTGTGTATGAGTCAACTCTTAGTGGATAGAAAGTATTTCAAGTACAAGTGTAAAGGTTGTAGTCATGGTAGCAAGTCTTGTGAATGTTATAAATAACTTATGAGATTATCTCCTCATTAACTATAGGGCATCATGTATAGATGAAGTGTACTAGCAGTTAAAGAGGTTGGACAGAGTGGGTGGTTTAGCAGGTGACTAGTGGTGTGATACAATGGTTAGTGGGTGGTTATATATAGACAATGGCAGAGTCAGAAGTAAAACTCAACTGATGCCAAAAGATCCAACCACGTAAAATTTAGCCGGTATTAAAGTTGTATTGTTTATAAAAACTCAACTAGTGCTAAAGTTATATCATAATTTTTTTAAAAAAAATTGTATCATTTCTAAAAATTAACTGGTGCCAAGACACCAGCTGGCTAACAAGTGGCCGCCAGTGTATATAGTGTAGAGAAATTGAGAAAAAGTGGTGGAACGAGATGCTTAGTCCATATCATGCGGTGGGGTGAGAAAGTTTGGACAATTTAACTAGTTCAAGGCAAGGCTAGAGAGTTTGAGGTAGACTTCCAGACTCTTTGCCTGATACCGAACCATACAACTTGTTTCAGGAGATTTTCAAAAGGTCTAGAGAAGTCTCTATGAGTTGGTGTCCTCCCAAATAAAATTAGTTTCCTTCTTATGCTACAGGCAGCTGTTGATTGTGTTAAAAGGATAGAAATTAGACAGTTGGAGGATATAACGTTACATGGTATGCAGCAGAAAAAAATTAGATAAGATAAATTATTTTGAGATTGTAGAGATATATAGTCCACATTGGTTGTATGAGCAACTAATGTGGAGTTTATAAGGCCTTGGGCACTCCTACCCTTTGAGCTAGCTTTTGGGGTGGTGTATCCCAAAGTTCTTTACATGGTATCAGAGCCTCACCGTCCCCTAAACCAAAAATTAGGCCTGTGCATAATCTACGCTTCAAGCCCAAAGGGCTCTCGTGTGAGGGGGCGTGTTGAGATATATAGTCCCACATTGGTTGTATGAGCAACTAATGTAGAGTTTATAAGGTCTTGGGCACTCCCACTCTTAGAGCTAGCTTTTGGGGTTGCGTGTAGAGATATATAGTTACACATTGGTTGTATGAGCAACTAATGTGGCCTTTATAAGGCCTTGGGCACTCCCACCCTTTGAGCTAGCTTTTGAGATTTGTTTTTATATATATCTCAACAGAGATCATAGCATTGGTAGTAATTTTAGAGGAGCACCTGAGTGATCTTGGCAGCAAAAATCCTTTCGGCCTGCTAACGACCTGAAAAGTTCTTCCCAATATAAATCAATCGGAGGTGGTTAACAAGGTTCTTCGAATTAGCATTATGGGAGATTCTACACAGGGCATGTTTTTCAGCAAACCAGTTGTTTTAAGTGTTGCGAGGTTGGTCATTCGAAAAGAGATTATCCTTAGTTGATTCATGGATTGAGCCAGCGTCACACAGTATCCTCCTCTATAATGCGAATGGTAACACATTGTTTCAAGAGTAGTAGTTGGCATGATGAGTTTGCAATAATCTAATAATCTTTCAGTTTGTATCAAAATCGTGTTCATAATAACTTATAAATTTTTTGATAATTACAGTTTCTTTCCTCCCTCATCTAATCACAAGATGGTTACCAAAAGTGAGAAACTAATGGTTTCTTGCTGCCAACAGCGTTGTATTTCAAAACTGATGTCCAAGCCCCCAAAATGTAGAGCTTCTTATAAAGGCAAATAATTATTACTGGTGATTGGCAGCAATAAAATCTGATACCTTTTGTCCCTATTTGTAGATCTCTGCTGTGAAATATCTGGTGTTGTTCTTTGCAACACTTATAGGAAAGAATTGGTATATTCGTGTGTATAAAGCTCCATGAATTCATGCAGCACAATAAAAGGATTTCTCAGCGAATCGTACTCATGGCTGTTACAAGTTTTGTATGTGAGCAGCATCATATTTAAGCAACAGTGCATAAAGCAGCTCATTCCATGAATCAGGCACACCAGGCAGGCACCAATGGCTGCAATCTTGGCGATGAGGAAGCACAGGACCCACGGTACGACCCAGATAATAGATAGATGAATGCCCATCTTTTCTCTGAGCAGTCATCTGGGTTACATTCAATACCTTGAACTTGGTAATTTCAGAAGTATTTATGTGTGCTGATAACACAGCATTGGCTGCTTTAAATTGTGACCAGTTGTCATTAGGCACCAATGAGGAGCCAAGCTCTGGTACTGTTTCCAAATGACAGTTTCCACCATTTCTCCAATCCCCACCTCTGTGAAACATATCAGACCAATCAATTTAGTTAATAAATTGATGACTATGGAAGCACTTTATATCATTCAGAAAACAATATGCAAATATATGATTCACAGAACCCAGGCCTAGGGATCCAAAAATTTAGGTTCAACAGCGTTGGATCAGTTCAAATATTAAATATTTAGAATATTCAAGGCAGTGGTACACAATTGTACAGTATAGTGAGGTAAAAAAAGAAGTCAAACAATAGAAGTGCAGGGAACTCATCATTTGAATTGCCAAACAAACCTGAAGTGTACTGGGGCTAGAGTACGAAAGAAAACCTGCGTCTTGCTATGATTTACTGTTTCTTGTATCCAGTTCAACACTGTCTCAATGGACCTCTTGTATGCATCTTCTACCTGCATTTCCAACTTCACTTCCATACCTTCTTGGAAATAACAGCGCCTGAACAAATATAGAAAAATTTCAATCCTTTTTCCAGTCCAAAAATTATAGATAAATGTCATTATGTCACAGACTCACGGTTTAAGAGTGATGCAACCACTAGTTTGGCATAGTTGAAATTCAAGGAATTAAGAAGGCACACAGTTAATCATATTAGTGGATCTTAGTGCCACGGTTTGCTCTGATTCAAATCTGATAAAATATAGAGTTGATATCTTACATGGATTCAGCAGAAAATCAGATGTCTTGGGCATCATAATCCAATCAACTGAAATTTTATCTCAGCACAAAAGGAAGGGAAAGGTGAACTCTTGAAAAACAATAGCATGGAAAATAATAAATAAAAATAGCTTGAAGAAAGGAATGGCAGAAAAACAAAATGGGAAAAGATCCTCTTATAACCATTCTTTTTAAACTATCATTTCCCCATAATTAATTAATCATCATCACAATTTCAATCCCTTTTGTTATCATTCTGGAGCTGTCTAATTACCACTAAAAGATAATAGATAAGAATAGCTTAAGTTATAGATATTCAGGACCCCATCAAGAGGTGAACAATCAAGCATTTCATCCGGGGTTAACAGGTGGGAAAAGCTAACCCCTGATGCAACCCAATTTTAAATGTCATTCTGTTTGAACTTTTTTTTACCAACGTATTTTGATATTTTAAAGCTAAACTAGTGACAGGAAATGCTGAATCAATAAAAATCTGGGGAGGATTGAAATACCCTCTTATGGTTTTCTCATAATTCCACCAGTGCCCTGTGTTAAGAACCAGGATATCTGCATCTCTCCACTTCAAAGAGTTCCAATCCATTTTATCCACTTTCAGAGTTGTCCTAATCTTTCCAGGAGCTCCAGTAGGAGGCCTGCTCTGCAATACAAGAAATGGAGCTCTATAGTATTCCACTGTACAGTTAAAATCCCTGAATTTGAACACCAAGAACCCCTTGTGCTTTGTAATTGGGCTGCCGTTCACTTCATATATTGATTCCTTGTTAGGAACTCCAGAAGAGAGCATGCATAAGAGCGACTCCCATTGGTTTCTCCCAATTGAGTCCCCAACAAACACTAAGCGTTTGTTTCGCAGTTTTTCCAACATCTTTGTTCCATTGAATCTGTTTTTATTAGTGATAAATCAAAGGTGTAAGTATACTTCCTTTACTTTTGCATTAAATCAGAGGAAACAATATTACAACTCAATATAAATGAAACAATTGAATACAAAGCCATTGGCCTCATCGATAAAACCCCATGATTCATTGGTACCACCAACCTCAAAACATCACAACAGAGACAAAACTAGTCTTTGATTTCAGCATTCAAAACACTGACAGGTAGGCTACTGTGCAGAAATAAAATTATTGAAATTCACCAATTTTATATTTTTATTATTATTATTTCACAAATACAAACAGGCAGTATAAAAAATAAATAAATAAATAAACAATACAAGATGTATAAAAGGCCTGTAGACATATGAAGGAAACAAGGGTTGCTGTTTATTCCAAATGAAGGAAAAGATAAACGAGAAAAATATTGAAAATGACGTGGAAGCATGGAACAGGAAAACGAAAGACAAATATTTACTGGTAAAATAGGAATGGTACTTAAATTGTCTTCCACCGTTAATGAAATGCAAACGAAATTGAACATTTCATCATTCTTGTTATTTTTCACGGAGCTTCATATTCTGAAAAAAGTGATTCTGAAAAAACGGATAGCTAAATGTAATCCAACCGTTAGGTCTCTGTCAAGATGCCGGATAAGATGGTCGCTGTCAAAGAGGGTTTTAAAGATATTCAAAATCATACACATTGAGTTTTTTCCCCTTTATTTTATTATTTTTTATTTCATTCCAAGTTCCAACTTGCCAAATACTCAAAATTAAGGATAAACATTGTTTGCTGGTAGCATCATACCAGATTTTGTTTTTTTTTTCCCTTAAAAAGACAATTGAAATTATTAGACCAGCAATTTAATTTACCATCTTCATCTTTATTTTCTCAGAGTTGAAAGCAACGAAAAACATAATCAACTTGAAAGTGATAAAGTGAAACTGTGAAAGCAATGAAGAACAATCAACAAGCATCAAACCTCTACCTGGGTAAGTTGCAATCTTTGGGTTGCCATCTCCATTTGGTGTAAAACAAATCACGTCGTCCATTCTCTGAACACCGAAATCCTTCATCAAGAAAGCTGCAATCTTTTGACTGATACAATGGGTAGCTCTCATCCCAAACCCATTTCCCATCAAACAAATCACACCCACCACCCTTCTCTCCAAGAAACTCAACTCTGCGTTCCTCAGTAGAGCCTTTTATCCGCAGCCAAGTAAACCTCTGAGGTTGATCCAAGAACCCAAATCTTGTAGCAAAATCTCTGTTATCCAAATAGAAGAAGCAGCAAATCACAAAGGCAGTAACAACAACAAACCCAAGAACGCCCAGAGACGGCTCAAACAACCTAAAGCGCTTAGCCCTCTTAAAAGCTTCAAAAACTGACATGGCTTCAACTTCTTGCTGTTATGAGCTCTTTTAAGTTACAATAAAATTCAAATTTTAGATTCTGGGTATTGCTCTAACGGTCGCAGTGGTCAACACTGATGACGGGACACACAGAAAAACGGAAACTTGTAAGCACAGAAGGGTAGCATGCAAGCAACATGGCATTCATTCATGCCCCACACCACAATTAATCAGAAGCATCTTTTGTTAGCTTTAGCTTTGCTTGGTAGGTCAGTTTAGTAAATACCATCAATGAAAAGCCGAAAGAAAGAGATGGGTGTAACGAAAGCAAAGGAGTATTCATTCACCGGTTTTCAATTATTTTCTTTTCTAGACGCAGTGAGATTTGGTGAAGTATTGATTAAAACAAAACGGGGATTTTGCTTCAGAGTTATATAAGACAACTTGGCAATGGTGTAAACGTGGGTGAGTCCACTATACCTCTATCTCTATGGTAATTGACTAATTGGAATGAAAATGGGGTAACGGTAGGATGACACGTGTCACACGTTCGTTTGAAAATACTGGAAGAAATTAGGCTTCTGAATGGACCGTAATACACGCGCCAAAAATGTATGAGTTGGAGGTATTGTGAAATTTGTGGGTCACTGTCTTGTGTTGTCTGGGAATTTTGAGTCTTGTATCTGTGTCAAATTCATAAACTTGTATCTGAATTCGATCACCCTTGCCGGGGATTTGATTAAAATAGAAAACATGGCTTAATTTAAGATAAGCTGAAGAAATGCGGTATATTGCAGGTTTCTTCAGCTAAATATCAAGAGATTAAGTGCTATCTTAAGTTCTTTGAAATGCGGTATATTTCAACCTAATGTATTTACAGGTTTCTTCAACTAAAAAATTCATATATTAGGTTGAAATTTTTAGTAACTTTGAAATTAGTAATTTATTTTTGAGATATTGCAGGTAAGAATTTTAGTTGGTTAGCTGAAGAAATTAGTAATATACCGCATAATGCTAATATTGACATGCTAGCTATTATTATTCGCTTGTTTGTATCATAAATAAATTAACTTTGAAATTTAGTGCTTATGAGATGAACATTTTTTTTTTATATTCAACTCCCGTTTTGATGACTATCAAATATTCTGAATTGTTGTGTTTTCTCATAAATCTCAAATAAATAGCTTGTCACCGTAGGACTATTTTGCTTTTACAACCATCTGGTCCCTTGGACACCTAATTATTTGTCACATTACTAACACTAACCCTGTTGTACATAATAATTTTTCGTCCTGGTTTTAGAAGATTTTCTTAACTCTGCCCATGTGTGCTTGCATGCATGGCCTGTCCCAAGCCAGGATAAAGGAGGAGGGTTGGCGTCAGGTGTTGCGAACCGGCCGTAAAAAACAGCTATATTTTTATGTGATGAACCTATATGATTTTTCGTTGGGGCGTACCCTTCATAGCGACGCGTTGCACCGGGCCCCGGGTGTAGCGAAAAATGGGCTAGGGTCCTTGCCACAAGGCAAGGCGCTGCATCGGGCCCGAGGTGTAGTGAAAAGTGGGCTAGGGTCCTTGCCCCAAGGCAAGGCGCCAGGTCTTCACCCGGATTTGGTGAGAAGTATGCCAGGGTCCCAACACGCAGATGGGCGAGCGTGGCGGGCAGGCACAGCCCAGGGGTTAAGGATGAGATTGGGAAGCTGGAACATAGGAACCTTAACGGGTAAATTGAGGGAGTTGGCAGATGTTTTTGCTAGAAGGAAAGTGAATATTGTTTGTTTGCAAGAAACTAAGTGGGCTGGAGAAAAGGCCAAGGAAGTGGATGGAACTGGTTTCAAGTTATGGTACACAGGTACGAACAAGAGTCGAAATGGTGTTGGAATTATGATCGACAAAAGTTTCAGAAATAAAGTTGTGGACGTCAAAAGGAAAAGCGACAGGATTATTCTGGTTAAGCTTGTTGTGGGTGACTTAATCCTGAATATCCTCAGTGTGTATGCACCCCAAATTGGATTGCAACCAACTGATAAAAGCCAATTTTGGGAAGACTTGGAGGAGGTTTTGAGGGGAATACCTCGAGAGGAGAAGATTTTCGTAGGAGGAGATCTAAATGGTCATGTTGGTAAAAACAATGGAGGTTTTGATAGAATCCATGGAGGTTTTGGCTATGGGACGAGAAACGAGACTGGAGAAGATATCTTGAATGTTGCACTAGCCTACGATTTGATGTTAGTGAACACCTTTTTTCAAAAAATGGAGTCACACCTGATCACTTATCATAGTGGCCATAATCGTAGTCAGATTGATTTCTTTCTGGCTAGAAGAGAAGATAGAACTTCTTGTGTCGAATGTAAGGTCTACCCTGGAGAGTGTGTTGCTACGCAACATAAGCTGGTAGTCTTGGATGTTCGGTTCAACAAAGTACGTACAATGAAGAAGAGGGCTCAGAATCCAAGGATAAGGTGGTAGAAGCTTAAGGAGGGAAAAGAGAGAGAGTACAATGATAGAATGTTGCACGAAGGACCTTGGGAGTTTGATGGAGGAGTAAATGCAATATGGAATGAGATGACTAAGTGTATTCAAAATTTGGGAAGGAGGGTGTTGGGAGAAAGCAAAGGAAATGGATTTCATACAAAGGAAACATGGTGGTGGAATGGAGAGGTGCAAGAGGCAATTAAACATAAGAAGGAGTGCTTTAGATCTTTGCATAAAAGTCCCAATGAAGAGAACCTGCAAAAGTTTAGATTGGCGAGAAAAAATGCAAAGAAAGCAGTGCGAGAAGCGAGAGGCAAGGTTTTCGACGAGTTGTATAAAAGTCTTGGGAGCAAGGATGGTGAAAGAGGTATTTATAAACTTGCAAGGATAAGGGATAAGAAAAGTAAAGACCTCACTCAAGTTAGATGCATCAAGGATGAAAATCAAAAACTTCTGGTGAGAGATGAAGATGTAAATGAAAGATGGTTGAAATACTTCAACAAGCTGTTTAATGGGGATGGAAATACAAGCGAGGTGGACTTAGAGGACGCATATGATGATATGAATAGAAGATTTGTACGCAGAATTAATACACATGAAGTTAAGGAGGCTTTAAAGAGGATGAAGACTAATAAAGCCTTGGGGCCTGATGGTGTCCCTATTGAAGTGTGGAGAGGCCTGGGGGATGTGGCAATAAAATGGTTGACCAATCTTTTTAATAAGATTCTCCAGACGAATAAGATGCCTGATGAATGGAGGAAAAGTATGATTGTGCCTATCTACAAAAACAAGGGAGATATACAGAATTGTTCAAACTATAGAGGCATTAAGCTAATGAGTCATACTATGAAGCTGTGGGAGAGGGTTATTGAACATCGCTTGAGGAGAGATACCAAGGTTTCTGTAAATCAATTTGGATTTATGCCAGGAAGATGTACCGTGGAAGCCATTTTCTTGATGCGACAACTAATGGAAAGATACCGAGAAAAGAAGAAGGACTTGCATATGGTGTTCATAGACCTTGAGAAAGCATACGATAGGGTTCCAAGGAAAGTTTTATGGTGGGTCCTGGAGAAGAAAAAGGTTCCATTAAAGTATGTAAAGGCAATCAAGGATATGTATGATGGGGCTACTACATGTGTAAAAGCTTGTAACGGATCATCAAGTTATTTTCCTATCACGGTAGGTGTACACCAAGGGTCGGCTCTAAGTCCTTACCTATTTGTCTTAGTTATGGATGAACTAACAAAAGATATTCAAGAGGAAGTGCCATGGTGTATGCTTTTTGCAGACGATATTGTGCTTATTGATGAGAGCAAGGAGGGTGTTAATAGAAAACTTGAATTGTGGAGAAGCACATTGGAATCCAGAGGATTCACATTAAGTCGAAGCAAGACTGAGTATCTGAAGTGTGAGTTTTCTCTGGTACAAGATGAGGACCAAGAACCTGTGCATCTAAATGGTCAAGAGGCACCCAAAAAAAATGCTTTTAAATACTTGGGCTCCATTTTACAAAATGGTGGAGAGATTGATGAGGATGTAAATCACAGAATCAGAGCAGGGTGGATGAAATGGCGTAGTGCATCTGCATTTTTGTGTGACCGCAAAATTCCCCTGAAGTTAAAAGGAAAATTCTATAAAACGGCAGTACGACCGGCAATGCTATATGGAGCGGAATGCTGGCCAGCACATAGGCAACATGAGCATAAGATGGGAGTAGCAGAGATGAGGATGTTAAGGTGGATGTGTGGGTACACAAGGATGGATAAGATAAGAAATGAAGATATTCGACGAAAGGTCGGAGTAGTACCGGTAGCCGAGAAGATGAGAGAACATAGATTGAGGTGGTTTGGGCACGTGATGAGAAGACCCATGGATGCTCCTGTAAGAACAGAAGTTTGTTACCAAGAGCTAAACACAAAAAGAGGCAGAGGTAGGCCGAAGCTTACTTGGGGGAAAGTAGTAAAACAAGATTTAATGGAGTGGGATATAGATTGGCGGACAGTATGTCTTAGAAAGGAATGGAGAAAAGCTATAAGTATGGTGGAGGGTTAGACTCGCTGTTATTCCTATGTTCCAGATGGTCCTTTTTTAGTCTTTTTCCCCTTCATTTCCCCCACTTCTTCTTGTCCCTTTCTTTTTTACTTTTATTTATTTATATATACATATATTTTTATTTCATTTTATTTTATTTTATTATTTTATTTGTGTATTTTTATTTATTTATTTATTTATTATTTTTTTTTACTTTTTTTCAACCGTTTTGTATCTTTCATGTGGGTTCATCTACCACCGACCCCAATTAATTTGGGATAAAGGTGTTGTTGATGTTGATGTTGATGTTGTTTTAGAAGATTTTCTTGAGTTTATTGCTCTTTTATATATATATATATACACACACTCGGACAGAGACAATGAGTGGAGCCTTTTTTTGCTCATTCTGATAAATAAAATGGGGTTCTTCATCTTGTCACTTTTGGAAGTATAAGAGAGATTCTTGCTTGGGTTGTGAATATGGGAGTGTCATTTGCTCATGTTAATGAAACATGGCATGAATTCCCAGATAGCCTTCTTGGATTGTGCAAAACGTTGTGTACTGGCTTGTTCTCCTGTTTTCAGAAGACAACAATTCTTGATAAGATCTGTGGGAGGCTCCATTGGAATTGATCAACAAATCCATTCTAGAGATATGCAAGGCCTAAGGTCTGTTGAGGTTGACTCTGAGAGTATTATTCGAGCAATTATTCCAGCCCTTGATCCTAGCAGACATAAAGGCCAGGCAGGTATAACATTCTTGTAATTCCCAATGAAAAAGTAATGTCTTTCGTTAATCATACCATGTTGCAATTTACTTGTTATACAGCTATGCTTCTTTTTTATTCCTTGTCCGTGTTATAATTTTTTTTTTACCATCACTGAAAGTATGCCGGGGCAAGTTTCTTTCTTAGTTCTTTCATTCATTTCATGTGGTGAGCTGTGTTAATCTATAATAGATAATTCAGAAATTTATATTACATGTGACTTATGTTTTTTATTTTGTGGCTGAAGAAAAGAAGAAACATCTAATGTTTCCTTCACATGTTTCAAATCAGGAAATATAGCTGTTATTGGAGGCTGCCGTGAATACACAGGTGCTCCATATTTTGCTGCAATTTCAGCCTTAAAAATTGTTAGTACCTGCACTATTTTACTATTTAGCCTTTTCCCCCTGGCACTGAATTCTCCATTTGGTTCACTTGATTGAATGACTCACAGATTACCTTTTTTTTTATTGGTATCCTGACTCACAGATTACCTTACTATTTCTTCAAGTTTCTATTTGTCTATATATTTTGAAGTTATTTCTGAACCCTCTTCTCTCTCCCCTCCTCTCTTCCCCCATAAATATAAAAACTATTCCTGTTAATTTAAATTATCCTACTATTTTCCCACCCATGCAGGGTGCAGATCTATCCCACGTGTTTTGTACAAAAGATGCTGCTCCTGTTATTAAAAGCTACAGTCCTGAGTTGATTGTGCACCCTGTTTTAGAAGAATCTTACAATGTCAGGTACACAACTTTCAGTCTTCTACTTAATCTTCATCGTTCTGTATGGACATTTCAAAATCAAGTGGATGTTGTTTTTAATGAGAGACTAATTTCAGGGAGGAATACAAAAGATCTATGTCAAGCAAGGTTCTTGCTGAAGTTGATAAGTGGATGGAAAGATTTACCTGTCTAGTTGTTGGTCCAGGCCTTGGAAGAGACCCATTTCTTCTGGTATGCTTTCTCTTGAATGCTTCTCTGGGTGCCAGCTTTATTAGACACATGGGTATCTTGCTTATCTTTAACATATTGTGTTTACTCTTGGATTTAGTGCTATCTTAAGTTCTCAACTTTTCTTTCTCATTTTTAGTGAGTTGTGTCCATTTAGTCTTTTAGTTATATATCTTCTGACCAAATGACGTGTGACATTAGATTGGGGCCTGGTTATAACTATACAGTTTACACAATTCCCTAATATGTACAACATGTAACCGTGGAGGGTGGTAAACTACATTCATTCTTTTTTCAGTAAGCATATATTATCTCATCCTTTCATGTAATGTTAGTTATAAATATGGATTATTCTTTCTTTTTTAAAAAAAGAAAAGAAAACAGCTATGGCATAATGAATAATGATGACTAAGAGACTGAAAAACAAGTCTCGTTATAAGAAAATAAACTATTGGAGAAGAACCCAAGAACTTTTTTTGTTTGTTTTTATTCATGTGAAAGCTCGAAGGGGAGGCCTTAGCACAACGGTTGGTGCTGTCACCATGTGACCTGGAGGTCACAAGTTGGAATTATGTAATTAGCCTCTTACTAATGCAACATAAGGTTGCCTACTATACACGCACACAATGGGCCTGACCCTTCTATGGATTCTACCCCTTATTTATGTGAAAGCTAATTTGGCTTAAATTTTGATAAAGCTTGAGCTCATAACTCTTGAAACTTAAAACTAATTTGTACTGAAGTTCTAATAATAAAGTTTTTCTCTTTCCCTGTTGTGGTATAGGGACATAGGCAATACATTTTTTTCATTTGAGATCTATGATATTGTCTTATATGCTTTTAATTTTATGACCCTCCACCTGCCAATGTCCATGATCTTTTTATTCTAATATTTGCAAGATGTTTTCAGGACTGTGTGAGTGACATCATGAGACATGCAAGAAAGTCAAACATCCCAATAGTTATAGATGGGGTATGTATATTAAGGTTTAGACACCCTGGCGCTGAGTTAGTGGGGTTGGATATGTGTTCGATTCCCGCTGAATGCATTCTTGGGGAGGGGGCTGAACCTTTAGCCATCACTGTTCCCCCGCACTCCAGATTAGTCCCATAGCCGGCTCAAAGAGTCGAAGCTCGTGGGGATACCAGAGGGAACCAACTCGTCTCAAAGAGATAATTAGGGTTGGGTAACTCCAAAAAGGTTTAGACACCCGAGACATGGCCTGATTAACATGTGCATATTCTTGCATTTTAAGACGGTATATATTTGAACATTCTGGTCAAATTTTGGGTGATTTTCAGGATGGACTTTTTCTTGTTACAAATAATCTTGACCTTGTTAGTGGCTATGCCTTAGCTGTTCTAACACCAAATGTCAATGAATATAAGCGCCTTGTTCAGAAAGTACTGAGTTCTGAAGTAAATGACGTAGATGCTCCTCAGCAATTGCTATCTGTTGCCAAACAGTAAGTTTCTTGTTTCAAATTACCGATTTTGTGTCAGTGTTTTCAGGCAATTGATCCTTGTGTATTTATTGTATTCTATTTATGAAATCTATATCTAGATAGTCAATTTGAGTATGCAAATTCTGTAAAATCCAAACAAATACTCTTACTAACAGAGATTTAAAAAAGTATCAGTTGTGATATACAAAAAAAAAAAAAAAGTATCAGTTGTTTGTCTTTATTCTGCATTGTGAAATTTACTTGCTTGAGCACAGTGCGGAATGTGAAAGCAGAATATGATCCTTTTCATGTCTTGCTAAAAGAAAATTAGCATCATTTAGCAATACAAGGAATTAGATAATGGCATAATTCCAAGTAGTTTGCTTTGATGCCAGATGCATTTCAGTGATTTTTCATTATTATCTGTGATTCAGCACACCATTTTAATGACAATTATGGACTGTTCATGGGTAGGATTGGTGGTGTTACTATCCTAAGGAAAGGAAAATCTGATCTCATAAGTGATGGTGACACAGGTAGGTTTTTGGTAAATGTAAGTCTTTCTTTTCCAGAGAGGTTCAAGATGAACTTAGTTTCTCATTCATCGTTCTTTCACTCGAACATTTTGCAATTGCAATAAAGAACTTTGTCGTTCTAAATTTGTCTAGTTTGGTGCATATGTTGGGTGTCTCCTATGCCTGAATTGAATAAGGGCTTTAGGTTTTGGAACAGACAGAAATGTTCTACCAAGCATGACCTAAAACCTGGGGATGGTGCAATAGACAGTCCTGTATGCACATTGCACCAGCATATGTAATATCATAATAGAGATTTGCAGATATGGAAATCATTTGACTGTGGTTATATTATTATTCATACAGTCAAATCAGTGAGTATCTATGGTTCTCCTAGGCGTTGTGGTGGCCAAGGTGATATCCTTTCTGGAAGGCAAGTCATTTTTCTTTTTCTTTTTCTTTTTCTTTTTGGGTTTCCTCGACGGGAAATTTTTTGCTATATGTTTAGATGCCTCCTCTCTTTTGTGAGATGGAGTTTTTTTTCTTCGAATAATTGATTTTTCTACACCTTCCTTCACTCTTCTATGCTACCTATCCATTTCAAAATTTGATGATGTACTTGTAGGAATCTCATCAGAAATGCGGAAGCGCATCGAACCGACACGACGAGGGAAAAGATTAACCTTCACCGGCGTAGTTATGTGACCACGAACAATAGTTGTTCCCTCTATGATCGATCTTCCAGACTATCTCTCGAGGAGGATGAGATGGTTGTGTGGGCAACCGTTCAGATGATGAACGTCTTCCTCTTGGGTTTGTTTCTGATGATCTGTTCACCTTGGAGGCACAAGAGGAGAAAACTATGAATATATACGCTTAGGTCTTAGACATAACTCAACCCTAAGCCTCATGGGCTCAAGTGTCACTGAAGCCCAATAGGACTTTAGTGACCAAAAGAGCATATATCCAACAATTTCCCACTTGCTCTTTAAGATACAAACTTGAGTTCGTAAACCCAAGACCATGTAGCCCATAAGCTATCATCATCTGATAATATACCCCATCCCTTGTCTCGAGCTAGCCTGGGGACCTACCATTTGTCATTGATCAAGGCTCTTGATAATCTTTACAAGATTATCTAATTCAGTGCTACTCCACTAAAAACCCGAACGTGAACTCCAAGAATAATGACATTTATAACATTAATATGCATTGCCCCTTTATAGAATGTCTATAATTCATTGATTAGTTTTCTGTAACCCAATCAATTATTTATTTCCTTGACTTTGATAATTTCTCTAATGGATTACATGCACTGGCCAGTGTCTTTAATATCCAAGTACCGAAATATATCAAGGGGACATTTCCTATAAATTCCTTGTTGTTTATCTCATAAATACTGATAATCAAATAATCTCACTCCCAAAACACCGAGTTATTGGCCGTCAAAAGATCAGACCTCACCCGTTGGTAAATCAAAGAATGAAGACTATTTAATTACCTATTTATAATAAACTCAGGATTAAGAGCAATCACATAACTATAGTTAACTGGAGATTTGATACCTTATGACAGAAAAAACAACCTTAATCAAATCTCTCCTTGATCCTTTCAATGTGAATGTTATTTCACACCAATATTTTACAATGATTCGGACAAAACTATTTCATAAAATATTGCAGCCTAAATAAAGTGCCCAACTTTATTTAATAGCTGTGAATCCATTCATCAATTGTGAGAACCTATGATCATGTCCTCCATGAACATATCCATATGATCATATACTCCACAATTTGATCCGGACCTTTATGTTTGTAAATAGTGCGCAAAATAAATAAATAAAATCTTATTTATGAAATTCAGAAAATTATTTTATTGTTTCATCATCTTACTCCAAGAGCACAATGAAACCAATAACTCCCACTTGCTTAATGCAAGTCTGGGATCCTCCTAAGACCCAAAGAAGTAACATACCTCTCGAACACAAGTTCAGGCAAACTCTTAGCAACTGGGTCTGCAAGATCCACCTCTAATGCTATTTGAGTTTAGTGAGAAACTCATAGCTCGAGGTTGATTTTCTTGAGTCAATATCCACTTGAAATAACTGAATTTTTGAAAACTCAGCTTTTCAAGACTCCCACTAGAATATACCAGCATATAATCTCTCGTTCTCCAAAGATACTTGAGTACATGCTTAACAATAATCTAGTATTCCTCTAGGTTCAAAATGGTACTATCTCACTACTTCCACTGCGTGACAGATGTCTGGTTTAACGCCCAACATGATATACGTGAGTCTACCTTTGCCAAAGCATAAGATATCTTGCTCATGCATTCTTCCTTCTTAGAAGTCTTTGGTCACTCCTTAGGAAGATGAATTCCACATCTGAGAATTATAATTCTTCTCTTAGAATTCTCATGTTGAATTTTGGCAAGAGTTTTGTCAATATAAGTAGCCTGAGGTGATGCCAACAACTTATTCTTCCGGCCTCATAAGAGTTTTATACCAAGAATATAATTGGCTTTCACAGTACTTCCATACCAAAACACTAACTTAGCCAACTCTTTATGCTTGATATTACATCCACATTGTTTCCAATAAGGAGCAAATCATCTACATAAAGTACCAGAAAAAACTACTGTCTTCCGTTGTATCCTTTACATACAAATACACATCATTCATCAAGGTTCTCTCAAAATCAAAATTTTGATAACCTGATCAAAACTGATGTTCCAAGTCCTGGATGCTTGCTTAAGTCTATGAAATAGACTTTCACAACTTGCATACCATGTGTTTCTACCAATTTGCTATAAACCCTTTTGGTTGTTGTATGTAGATATCCTGACATCCAACTCCCAAAATGAAATCTCATAATTGAGACTTATAGCAACTAAGAGAATAAGGATAGACCCAAGCATGGCGTCTGGCAAAAATTGCCTCCAAGCTAGCTTTGAAGGTTTTCACCTTCCTGTCCATCCTCACTTTGCCTTTTATGTCCACATGCACCTTGTGGGTTTTACCCCTCTTGGTGTTTTTACTAGGACCGAACAAATTTGAAATACAAGTATTTTATCTCATTGTTCATGGCTTGAGCAACACTTGATCAACAACATCTTCTAGTGCATTATCGTAACTAGTAGGATCAATATCACTCAACAAGAGACAACTTGAGAGTTAACAAGGTTCTCTTCCACTACGAAGGTACTGCACTAGACCTTGTGTATTTATAGGTAAAACAAAGAGTGGATCAAATGATGGATCTTCAATTTCTTGAGGATCCGCTTATCCTTGATATTGTTCCTTTACATGTGATACTAATATTTCTACTAGTTTCACTTATATATTATCATGTTGAATTTCCATCATGGTTCTCTTGTTTGTTCACTTAGAGATATATCTATCCCCTCTTGAACAATCAAGGGAACAGTGGATGAAGCTTCTAGAGATTCTGGAAATTCTTGATCTGAGATAAATCTCATCAAGAATAACCTAACTTAAGAGCTTATAATTTCTTATCTAGTCCTCCTTTAAGAAAATCATGTGAGTGTTCACTTAGATTATCTTGTCCTTAAGACTAAATAAGAAATTATCTCTAGTTCTCTTAGGGTAGCCAAAAGATATGCACTCTTCCATATAAGATTCCATCTCATTTGACTGCTGTTGTAGGACGTGTGTCGTAGCACCCTAAATCCGAATATGGTTTGATCTGGGCTTGCACCCTTTCCATAATTCTTTAGGTGTCTTTACAACAAACTTTGACGGAATCAAGTTAAGAAGGTACATTTCCTTCTCTTAGGCATCTCCCTTGAACAACATTGACAAAGATGAATAACTGAACATGATCTTCACCAAGTCTAGAAATGTTTGATTTTCGCATACTGCAACTTCATTCAACTAATGCGTTCTTAGAGTTGACAGTTACAAAAACTATCCCCTCTTAAATCAGGTAAGACCTGAACTTACCAGACAGGTAGCCAACACTTTAGTCAGACCAAAGTGTTTTTGATTTGAACACCTACATGCTTTTCTGCCTCAGACTAAACCTCTTGAAATTTCCAAAAGCTTTAGACTTATGGCGCACTTGGTTCATCTGTCCAAATCCAGAGTAAACATTCATATAATGAAGTACTCATCACCTCTTCTGGTCTGAACGCTAATTGGTCCACATACATTTGTATGTACCAGTTCCAGTTGAATAGTTGCGCAAAACCTATTTGGCCCTTGTAGGATTGCTTGGCCACTTTACCTTCCAAATAGGACTACCATGTAGCTGTTAGTTAAAAGATTCTTGAACTTTCAGTCTCTTTTTTAACTAAAAAATATTTTCTACTTGAGATAATGTGACTCAATCACAAAGGCCAAAGTTATGTTTCATTTGAAACTTTTATTTCTTTGGTGAAAATCCTTGTTCATCATCCTTTCCATTCAACACAAAAATTTAGGGGGTATAGGACAAAGGTAATAAAGACTATTTAAACAATGTACCAGAAAAAAAAGACGAAAATGAACTTCGAAATGTAACTGAGGAATCAATTGCATTGTCAACCCATGTTTTAACCAAAACAACTAACAAAAATTGAATTCCTCCTGAAATCTGGAACAAATAAACAGTCACCCAAAACCATAGTCTTATTAATAACTTGTCTTACTGCAAATGCAGACACAAGTTCCCAATTTCAAGCTTAAAATATCTATGTCCATTGCTGACAAGTATGCTATGTTTGAACTACTACAAAGAGTAACAAACATAATCAGTGATTCCTGAATCAATAATTCATTCACTGATCAGGCCTTGATATGCCCATGTCAGGTTCTTTTCATCACCTCTGGGCAATTTTTCTTTCAGTATCCCTTCAATCTGCACTTGAAGAACTTGTCTTGCGGCTTCTTCATAGCAACTGGTTTGACAACTGATAACCAAGTCTTTTTGTTCTTGTTACCACCATTGGGTTTCCCTTTGGATTTAACAAGACTCTTAGCAAAACTTGCACCGACTGCATTCTGTCTAGCAGAGCTGCTAGACGCAGCAAACATGTCATTAAGAGTCTGAAGCATTTTTACTCCACTCTTAATCATGTACACTTTCTTCTGCAAGTATTTGGAAAGACTGACAATAATATAGCAGCGAACTACCATATCTGCCATTTCCCAATCTGAGAAATGCATCTTAGTTTCCTTAGACGCATTCTCTGCAGGTTGCTATGGCACTCGCATTTTCAGGACAAATTTTAGCTTCCATGTTTTAGAACAATATCAAAGATTTGCTTTTCACTTATTCATAGTTGGTACCATCTAGAGGTTTTCGACTCAAAATCATTTCTAAGATATTTTCTGAAAAACATATAAAGCACACAATTACAAACAAATAATGCAATAAACAAACGAAGTGCAAGTAGATTCTCATAACTACTCTTGTTTATTGTTAACAATCCTTTAGTTTATCTTTACAAGGCTTACGATGGGCAAGTGACTTGTAAAAACCAAAATTGTTATTTGGGCTTTCAGTGCCATTGCCAGAGCCTCGATGGGAGGGTTAACAATTTTACCAAAATTGAATGTAATTAACCATTGTTTAATTTCAAAATTATCCTTAGTGTCTAAGCATTGCCGACGATGGGCCATACAATACTTTACTAAAATTTTGAAATTGTTAAGATTTAATCTAGTGAAATCTGATTATCCTTATCTGATGGGGCTTCAGCGATAACCATTTCACTAATAAACCCACAAATGGAGCCCGCATGTTTTAAAATTAATTAATTTTTAAAACCTTCACCCATTCAACATTTTTGTTTGAGAATTTTCATAAGCCCTGTCGAATTCATTGTTTAATTTCAAAATTATCTTTAATAACTTAGTATTATCGACGATGGGCCGTACAATACTTTATTAAAATTTTGAAATTATTAAGGCCCAATAAAATCCAATCATGCTAATCCGTTGGGGCCTCACATGATTATTTTATTGATAGGCCCACAATGCGCCTGGAGGTTAAATTAATTTCTTAATTTAAATCTCCTCCATAATTATTTAGGTCCAATCTAATAAAATCCAATCATGCTTATTCGATGGGACTTCACATGATTATTTTATTAATGGTCCTTATAATGCGCTTGAAGGTTAAATTAATTTTTTAATTTAAATCTCCTTCCATTCAACATAAGCAATATTTTCCAATTTCCAAGAATTATTTAATTGAGAGTATCCTTTGTTTGATTTCAAAAACTATGTAAGCAAGAGCGCCGATGAACGGTGCATCACTTAACTTATATGAATTTTGAAATCATTAAGGTACTAAAATTCGGTCATGATAGGCAGCGTGTGCTTCACACAATCATGATACATGATTGTGGTATGCAGCGTGTGTTTAACACATTACCATTTTAGTAGACCCACAAATTACTCGCAAAATAAAAGAATTCTCTTAGGAAATTTTCTTACTAATTGTCTTGATTTTAAACTCCAAAAATAATCAATTTGATTATTCTAGATTTTACCAAAATCATAATAATTAAATTAATTTTCGAAATTAATATAACCATTAATCTAGATTTTGTTTCAAAATCATAATAATCATAATTTTATTTTACCGGAATATTTAAAATCAAAAACTACACGCATAAACTATCATACTAGTCGGTTCAAGACATAATAGCTACTATGCAGTAATGACATGTGATCATGCAACAATATGGCATCTTCCTATTCTATATGACATGTTATTTCATACATCATGTTTAATCGCACATATAATTCATACAATTCAATTAAAGCATTAAATAATAAATAAATAACTTTAATTCATGGCTTTCCTATAATAATCAATAAATAAATAAAATTACAACTTTGAAATTCTTTTTCCGTCCAGCCCCTAGTATCTGTCTCAAGCCCCTTTAGGGTATCTATGGGCCCACAAGCCCAAAGACCCAATCCTTTGCTAGAAACCCTAGGAGACAAAAAAAAGGAACCCTAGCCAACTGTTTTGCCACGCCGTCCGCCGAAGTCATCTCAACACGAAAATCCAGGGGAAGGACCGCCACGGGGAGACGAGAACACGGCCGCCGGAACCACCCAAAAAGGGTGTGGCACGCGCCCCCACGCGCCGTATCTTTCTCGGAGAGTGAAGCCCACTCTCAGCCACTTGTGGTGGCGAGTGGCGGCGCGTGGAGGCTCTAACGTCCGTGATCCACCCGTCATTTTGATCGTCTTTCCGTCCTCTTTCCAACCATATATGGATCGTCCAATTCCGAGGTCCAGAGGTCCACAAAAAGTCTCGGACAGTGTTGAATCCTCATGTTCTTCGCAGTTTCTTGATCTCCAATTTTTACAGAAATTCGAAAAATACATAGAAATTCCAAAAAAAAAAAACAAAAAACAGCAAGGAAGAAACCTAATCATATGGGATTAGCCTCCTTGTTACAAATCAAGAAATACATGAGAGAATCTAACCATGGATTAAAGCGATTAACTGATTAAAATTAAAAGCAATATCGAATAAGAATTATAAACGAATGATCACCATGAAATAAATAACAAATATAGAAAAAAGATGTCATATTTTCAAAAAATAATTTTCAAAAACAATCACATGAATTTATTTCAAAACTGGTTCTTTTCCTCGTCGCGATCCGGCTCTGATACCAATTGTAGGAATCTCACCAGAAATGCGGAAGCGCATCGAACCGACACGACGAGGGAAAAGATTAACCTTCATCGTTTTGATTACCTGGAAGGGCGTAGTTATGTGACCACGAACAATAGTTGTTCCCTCTATGATCGATCTTCCAGACTATCTCTCGAGGAGGATGAGATGGTTGTGTGGGCAACCGTTCAGATAATGAACGTCTGCCTCTTGGGTTTATTTCTGATGATCTGTTCACCTTGGAGGCACAAGAGGAGAAAACTATGAATATATACGCTAACTCAATCCTAAGCCTCATGGGCTCAAGTGTCACTAAAGCCCAATAGGACTTTAGTGACCAAAAGAGCATATATCCAACAGTACTTTCAGGTAGGATATTGATTTTCTCTTTCAATCAATAAATTCTACCCTCATCCGTTGACTGCACCCCACTAGATCTACTAATTAAAATACTTTAGGTCTCGGGAAGGAGATTGTTTGTGTAAGTAATGCAGGTAATGCATACTTCAGTTGTGAATTATCCTTAGCTATGAGAAAATATTGATCCTGGAGTAAAGCAAATCATTTACTGATTGGCGGAAAATAGAAACTACACGAGTTTAAAATTTATGGTGTTGTCTAAGTTTGAATTGATGGAAGTAGGGGGAATGGAATGACATTTCTTATCATTGTTTGGATTTTTTCAAATAGGATGGATGGAATAAATGCAACATGTAGAATCCATTCCACCCATACTCCAATTTTCTTCCCCTCCCTCCAAAAACATCTGGGTTTATAAGATGCAGCCAACTTACATTTTACGAATATAATTATTAAATTACACTTTTGTCCTGTAAACAACATCAAAAGCTTCTTGACACCATTAAGGGAGTTCTCAACGTTGGTGCGTTTGAGATAAGGGTAATATGAGGGCAAAAATTCAAAATTCAAAATTCATGCCATTCCATTCCCTTCCCTTCTACTATAATTTCCAAACTAGAGAGTGGAGACTTTACTCCACTCCATCTTTGATATCCAAACAATGGTATGGGATCTTTATTCCAATCCATCCTACTTCACTCCATTCCATTCCATTATGTACCCTTCCCCATTGACCATTAGAATCTGAAATTTTGTCAAGTATACTGATCTTAATTGGTGCAGTGTTGCTGTCTTCTTGTCATGGGCACGTCAACATATCTTAGCTGCTGATCCTATTTCAAATCCCAGGTTCTCTGTCATAACTTTCCAGATTCTACAAGAAATGTTTTTTCTGTTTTGCTTACATGTACAGGCCCATCTTTAAATACCTGCTATATCCATAATTATATTTTTGTTCCAGTTATAAAAATCCAACAGTTTTGGGATGCATAGCTGGGTCTGCTATATTGAGGAAGGCTGCAGCACTAGCTTTCTCGGATAAGAAAAGATCAACAGTTACTGGGGACATTATTGAATGCTTAGGGAAAAGGTAGTGTATTCTAGACAGGCATTAGTTTTGTGACTGTGACTTATTTTTAAGCTTTTGCATTTTTTGTTGCAGTTTGGAAGGCATTTGTCCTGCCAGTTAATTCCGTTTCTGTCCTGCAGACACTTACCACTAGCAACTAATTTGATGTTATCCTGCTAGAATCTTTTCTTTCTCTTTAACTTCTTTGAGTTTTCTCCTTTCATGTCTTTATTTCTCACTGTCTGTTCTGTATAGTCTACTTGAATGTTTAAAATTTGTCTGTTTGTTGTGCCATGATAAAGAGTCTAAGAAAGTTTGTTGACCAGAGTTTATCCCAAAATAACGATGTACCCTGAAGTATCATAATGCACTTCAAGAAATAAAAGGTACATATAGAAAACTGCTTAAAATTAAGGCTCAAAAATACTATGGGAGTGAGTATGTTGCAACCATATTGCAAGATATGGGACTTAGAGTCTCATATCGGAAACATAAGATTCTTGTGTGGTGTTTATATGGACTTTAGGTTCTCCTATCTTATGAGCTAACTTTTGGGATGAGATTTTCCCAAGATTCGTATAAATTGGTATTAGAACTTTTTACTATATCTCTTAGTTGCAATCGAGCAGCGCGACTCGGCCGGTGACGTTAGCATTGCAGTGTTCGTGTAGAGCTAGTAAAAGACCAGCGTAAAATCAGGCCGCGACCAGCGTAAAATCAGGCCGCGTGGGTACCGGGGCTACAAAGCGTGGTAGGATGTTACGATCCTATTACAAGGTATGGGACTTGGAATCTCGTATCGAAAATATAAGATTCTCAAAATTCGTATCAGAGTGCTCATAAATTAATGGATTTTTATCTCCTTTGGATCTTTTAAGGCCATATAAAACTACAATATGATGCTCATCTTTGTGCTAAATGTATGTCTTGTTGACATATCCCTAGAGTGCTTTATCTGTGGATACAGGGATACTCTGCAGTATGTATCGTAATTATGAATCCTGGTAATTACCCTTTACATCTCTTGAAGTTGTAAGACAGAAATAGAACAAGTCGATATTTTGGATTAGACGATATTGTACATTTCCTTGATTCACCATGCCCCTCCTCATAGATGATCTGACAGTATATAATTGATTCATTCGTGATCTTTTTTCCTTTTTGCCCGAACAATGAAAATTGTAATAGCCGTAGACGGGTTAAATGTCAGAAAAGAATTATGGAAGGGGTTATATTGTTTAGGCATAGCTCTAAGCATGTAGTTAGAGTGAAACTTTTAACAACTATTTGTATCAGAAAAGAAAAATCAGTGGAAAAAGATGCTTATTGCGCAGGTTTTGCCATATATTTAAAGAACCTGAGAAAAATTAAGAAGGTTTAAATTAAGGGAAATAATTGTTTTATGTCACATAAGACAACTATCTTACGTTGAACACTCATGAAATCTTGTGTCTATTTGTTCTTTTCTTTTTTTCTTTTTTTTTAAATTGTGGACCCCACAACTTTGTTTCACCCACATAAGATACATATCTTATGCAACATAAGATTAATAACTCTCTTAAATTAAACATAAAATGACGGGAGAATATCGAAAACCAGACTTATTGGATTGAAAAGCGTAACTGTACATTGATAGAAACAGTAAATTCTCTATCTAATGAACAAGGTTACACCCCTACTACTTTGATCCACTCAAGTTATCATCATCAAGCTATTTAATTACATGATGGCCCCTCATGCATGCCTTGGGGTCACATCCACATAAACCCCATTGCTCCGTTAACACATCATAGCCCATGGGAAGATTTACTCTCTGGCTGCAAGAACTGCTGGACCTTCCACCTGATATTTCATCCCACCAAATTGACAGTTAGTACAAAAGAATTGGAGTTCGAGCTCATTAATGGAGAGCAAAAGACACTAGATTATGCATGCAAGAAATGTTGGAAGCCAACTGAAATGAAAATTAAACAGAAATTAAATAAACAATAGCTAAGTTTCCCATAAACTGGAAATAAAGGCCTCCAAGTGAAATTTAATTACAGTCTTGGTCACATTATTTGACTTCAGTTGCTAGTTCTAACGGTACCTTCAAAAGACAAATGGATATTATGTCTAATTCTTCCATTGGTTTGACAACCACCACTTTGGGTCAGTTAAATTTCACTCTTAACGATTCTATGGTTAACTTGACAAGACTTTTTGAACTTTTTAAACACTTCTTCTTGGCTTTTAATTTACCCCCTATTCCAAATGCAAGCTTCAATTATTAGTAGTTCCAAACTTTCTGCAACGAGAATGGAGCACTATAACAACAATTTTGTTTATATTCATTCATTTTGTTACCTTGAAGGTTGCACCCCAGATTTCCTCCTCATTAGCAGGTACTGCAGTAATCTTATTTTTGGGATTCTCATAGCACATCAATCCTCCTACAGCTGTGGAGTAGAAACATCCTGTCCAATTAGAGAGCAACAATGTCAACAACTAGAGAGAAACTCCTTTAATTTGAGGGGAAAAAACAGCACTCGGACAATATTATTGCACAAAACTTATTCGGGGATACACACTGACAGAAATAAGCACATATCATATCTCCCAACTTTTCTTTCCAATTTCTATCTATAACATTGTTATAATATCATCATCTTGGAAAGTTAAATGACCCGATCTGAATCACTATAAGCATTTTTTTTTATCACTTGCAAGAAATAACACACTGACAAGACAGACATATATAAGCACATGATAGAAGTTAACCCACCTTGAGGGAAAGAAGCAAGTGACTTGCCACAAGCACCTTTAAGCAATTCTGCATCATCAGCAAATGCTACATATCCATCAGCAGTTATTCCCCAGTATAGAGGTACCTTACCAAATTGATCCTGTCAAAAATAATACGAGCAAAATGAGAAAGAAATGAAAGCACATGGTTATTGATCAAGACAATTGGTTGGTGGGATTTATGATTACTTACAGAGGCAACAAAGAGGGTAGAAGTGGATTTGTCAAAAACTATGAAAGCAAAATTGCCACTGAGATGGCCAACGACGTGATTGGCAGGGTAAGGTGCTCGGTCACGTAAAGCTTTGTAAGCCTCAATCACCAAAAGTACTTCATTGGCAGACTTGGCCAGTCCATACTGTTGTCTCAAGCTGCCCAAATTGTCAAGTGCTCCCTGAAATAAGCAGAACACCTCATCCTTCACAGCAAACGATCTGCCATTTTTCCACTCAATATTTAGATAATAAGGTAGAAAGGTATAATTAATAACATTTCATGCTAAGTTCTAGCTAATAAGCACATCATAGATATTATACTGTCCTAGAAAGTCACTAAGACCAACGGCTGCAGCAGAAAAACCCCTGTCTCAAGAACATTGAACTGGAGAAACATTAATGTTAAATTGATTCAATCAATTAAATTTGTAATTGAACTGTGAATAATGTTCAAACCAAAAACATAGTTAAGAACCTACTAAACTAAGTGATAAACACCATTTTAACTCAAAACCTTAAGGCATTAAAACCATTGATATAACCCCAGCCATCAGCTTAAGTTTTTGGGTTGAATTAGTTCTTTACACTAAGAAAATACAATTACACTAGTTAAGGATGTGACTCTCCCCTAGGAAAAAAGGAAAAGAAAAGAAATAATGGAAAAAGATATTATCCTTCTGATAAGCCAATACTGTAATATCAAAAAGTATAATCAAGAATCAAATAGATTTTATTTTTTTGCTCAATGATGTCTCGTGGGTTTTCAGCTCCAAGCCCCCAACAACCTCATCAGCTCATGTATTAATCTCAAAAAGTACAACTGGTGTTCGAATGACTAATTGTTTAGCAATCACCTAAAACAAAGTGTTTGCCCAATCCAAATTACATCCGGTCATTAAGGAATCATCGTTCCCAAATACAATTGGGCCATATAAGAATTGAGCTGGTCCGCGTCTGAGCATATAAATACGAACCCACTCAATTTAACTTAGCGAAATACAACTCTTATGTTGCACGAAACTTGTTATCTCATGCCATAGACACAAAGCATGTGAGACTCACTCTTTTAAAAAAATAAAAATCGAAAAATAAATGTTAGCACAACTTTTGATGTATTAGTAGAAAGGATATGTTATCTCATGTAACACGAGAAAAACATACCCATTTAACTTAAGTGGCACCTGCATTTTTTTAATAGATAAATTTTAGTTTATAATTAAAAGAATGTTACTTAATTTTCACACAATTTCTTTCTTTCTTTTAATATATTATGGAAAAAATAAAACAACATTTCTGTTGCAATTTTTTGAAAATGAAAAAAGTGTTTTTACAATTATTAATAAAAGTAAGTTAACTTAAATAAAAATAATAATTTGAACAACACCTTAAATCCTTAATCACTTCAATTTTGTAACCCAAGAATTGTTAAAAAAAAAATTATGCCTAACTTATTTTAGAAATAATTTTTATAAAAGTTAAAACTATTTAGATTTAAAAAAAATATTTGATTTTTAATTTTTACTTTTTACTTTTTTTAAAAGCTAAAATTTTTAGCTTTTTAAAAAATAAATTTTTAACTTTTTTTTTTTTATGATTTCTACTTCTTTTTTAAAGCAAATATCTAAATGGATTTAGTAATCAGAAAAAAAATTCATCCAAACAAACCTTAATCACTTGAATTACATATTTTTTGAAAATATTTTAATACAAATTAACATTATTTTTATTATTTTAAAATTTTTTGATATTAAATGACATCAGTAAAGTATTCTAAAAAAAGTAAAATGAAGTTGACTCGTCAACCTGACTCAAATCAACATAACTATAACCAGGTTGAAATAGATTTTTTTTTGTCCAATCTTATTGTGTAATTTAATGAACTCATTTTGATATTAAAAAACTTATATTTTATAAAATTTATAAAAGGTAGATTATTTCCACAGTAAGTGATTGAGTAATATGGAAAAGTAAAATATGCTCAAGGGGTCCTGTCAGTCTTTTGCTTAGACCATAAGGAAAACAACACCAAAAACAAAATTACTTTAAAGTATATAATAGGAAATATTTTTGTTATGTTATAGAAAAAAAATTATTTCATGTTGTAGAAATAAAATTATAAGTGAGATCCACAAGTAAAAGGATAGAGAAAAAAGAATGGTAGAACTCAATATCTTATTGTGTGTAAGAAAATTATTTGTCTCATATAAAATGAGATAAACATAATTAATAATACAAGTACATATAACTATTTCTGTATTTAAGTTGGAGTAAACAAATAGTTTGAGTTTGAAATAACAAAAAAATAACTATTTCTGTAAATTTAAGTCCATCCAAACATGGGCTAAAGTTGATGGTTGTATTTTATTTATCTTAGAAAAAAAAAAAAAAAAACCAACTTCATTACAGTCCTGAACCGTCACACTAGCCCCATGCAAAATTGGGCACATAAGGACCGTGTGATGGAGGGATGGGGAACAATCAACCGTCCGATCCGATCGGCAGATTTACCCTCCCATCACACGGTTCTACGATTTTCCGCTTATTTTGTGACACAACGACGTCGCTTAGGCGAGAGTGATCATGTTTACTTTACCTGGGTTGCCACGGAGACTCGCTGTGGTGAGTGTAAGCCAGCTGGACATGCTCTCCAATCTGCACTGACACTGCAGACGCGTTGCTCTCAACGAACCGATTCACCAGAGCCGCCGCCGTCATCTTTGGAGACGGAGTTCGGCTCCCGGCGGCCACGAGCTCGTCCGGCGGAGACATAACGGAGCTGCTGAACACACCCAACATCTTATCGGAAAATTAATTATTCTTCTTTCTAGCAATAAAGGACACACACACACACACACAATGCGAAATGAAGCAGGAGCGTGGAATTCCTTATATAGAGGATGGATACGAGGGCAATATAGTCATTCAGTCGTAAATAAATGGAAATTTATGAGTGTTTATAACATTTAATAATTAAATCATAAGTCCGTCGAATTAGGACAAGTGGGTGATGATTTTTTTGTCACCGGAATCAGACATCTTAGATGAAGTGGGTCCCACTTGCTTTATTAATTCATGATTAATGGTTATTAATTATTATGCGCCTCTGATTCTGGGATGGAATTGGAGATTGACGGGGTGATCTCCTGCGGAACCATCCACAATTTCTTGTGGTGCGAGCCTGCTTTTGCTTGCCACGTCTTCCTTTCAAGTTCTTTGCACAATAATTACGTTTTTAAAAGAAATAATTGAAAATTAATATAAAAAAAAAAGAAATAATTGAAAATGATATTACGAGAAGATTCTATCCCATTCTATCAATGGGGTGTGCATCCTTTGAAAAAAAAAATTAATTATATGATCATATTATTCGATCATAATCATTTATTAATGATAAATAAAAAATATATATAATTTTTAATTAAATAATTATAATCAAATAATATGATCACATGATTATTTTTTTTATAAGAGAAGATTCAAATAAGATATTTTAATAGGAAATTCAGCTTTTAGGAAATGATCACAATTAAAGAGGATTATAGTAGGGGGAAAAACGTTTTTAACACTAAACTTCCTTCGATGTTAACGATGTTATTACAAGTTTGCAATAGTTCTGTACACTAAACTTACTTTCTTTCTCTTTTTTTAAATTTAAGATGGATGAAGTTTTTGTATATTTTTAGTACACTAAACTTTCTTTCTTTTTTTACATTTGATTTCATTCTCCTCTGTTTGCTTGCCATGAATAGAAAAGGCCGGCTCAAAATTATTAACGATCAAACCTGTGGGTGGACCTTCGGATTTCTATGGGTTGTGAGCAACTTGAACATAAAATACAATGAGAACGAGGTGCTTGTAGGTTCTTAATGTCCTTGGAGTTTAATATTATTTAATATTATTGAATTAACAATAATCTAATCAAATTATAACCCATAATGATGGCACATCAAGCTGACGAATGTAACTGTACATTACTTAATAATTTAGTTGAACAGTTTTTAAATTGATGTTTTATTTTTAGGTAATTATTCTCTTTGTTACTATTATTATTCTTAAATTATAATTCATGACTTAAAAATAGGCTAACATCAATACAAAAATTTAAGTTCCATATTCGTACCCCAAGAAAAAACATATGTTGCTACAAAAATTAAGAAAACATTGACGAATGAGAATGAGGTTGGTTTGAATATTTAGTTATTTACCTCCTCAGCTGGCCAAGGTTGGAATCAATATTTAATATAAGGTTGATAAACATACATACATCCATACCATTCGATGTGTGGTAATTATAAACTAATTTGGTTTATCCCCTCGCTTAATCGTAGGAAGAGTCTGCGTGTATGGTAAAGTCCCCTAGAGGTAGATATTAGCCAATGATTGGATAAATTTTCGGCAATTGGTAGCATTGAGAATTCAATGTTACTCTCATTGAAGTTACAAAAATATAGTTCATTTAATTGTATTTATATTTTAGAGGAAAGTATATTTTGGATCTTCAATATATATAAGGGAAGTTAATTTAATCCCTTAAAAAAAAGTTAACTTGTGATACTCTCAAATTTAAAATGGACTTCATGTTAGTCCTTTTGAGGGGCTAACATGAGTTCTCTTTGAATTTCAGAGGGATTGTAATTTTGACTAACTGAGTTTATTTTAAATTTCAGAAGAATTACAAATCAATTTTTTTTTATGAGATTAAAATGGATCCCGTAATTTTTGTTGGGACCTCAAAAAAAACTTTACTCTATTTTTTATTTTCAATGTCACATAAATTTTCTTATTTTAAATTTTTAATAAAAAAATCTGCATTATAAGAGAAAAAAATTTACTTGCTTTGATGCAGGGTCTACAATCTGTGCGGTGAATGATGAACTCGCATTGTCAATGACTTAGTTGAATGAACCATGGAAAAAGAACCACCCTTGAGTCGTGTCAAAGACAAAGTAAGACAACAAATCAAATAAAAAAGTAAGAAACTGACGTGGAAGTGATTCTTTTTGGATAAACATACTTTACTTTGTAATACTTTAACCTAAAAATTCTTCTTTCGTTCTCCTGAAGGTGACGCCCACAGTTTTAACCGATGGCCCACGGATTCAAGCATACAGAGTTGAATCATTGACAATTTTCTTTGTCGCAGAACCAAGCATTTGTTTGCAATTTTATTCATTTTATATTTAGAAAAAGCATACAGCGAGTGTAAAAGATATGATTTAGGTTCTTTTAACAGTTTTAATTCATGATATAATTTTTCATTACTGGTAAACTGACCCTGATGTATTATCGAATTCGTGACACCGAGACTCTGATATTATGTAAAGAATTAAATAACTCAAAAGCTTAAGCAATTGGGTAAGACTTATTAATGATTTTTATATATATCTAATACGTCCTCTCACACGAGAGCTTATTGAGCTTGAAGAGTGAACAATGCACATGTCCACCTACCTGTGCTAAGAAATTTCACAAAAGAAAATGAGAGGCGATGATGATCGACTTCGGGACATCAAGACTCTAATACCATGTAAAAAATCAATTCAACCCAAATATTAAGCTGTTAAGTGAAGTTCCATCAACAGTTTATATATTTCTCTAAGAGTTTCATTCCTCTTGTGTTGCATGTAGCATCTCCATGGATTATTTTGTTTAAAATGGAGAGGAACAAGAGGAAGGAACGGAGGAGAGAACAAGAGTCACTCAAAGAACCATTACCCTTGTGAAAGTTATAAAACTATCTTATTTACTCCATTACTAATTCGAATTATTGTCTTAAACATGCATATGTTTATTGATTTTTTTGGTAAATGTGGATTATGTTGATCGTGCATAATCACCCTATATGATAAATAAAACATGCATTAGGATTTTGGAGATATTAATGATAATCTAGAGTGCACGCATTGCATGCATGTTTTTTTTGGACTTGGGAGATGTGATAGCATCAGTTGGGGCTGATATAAGTGGGTTTTTGGACCAAGAGAAACCCAGGTAGCAGTTGCAGTAGAAAATTGCATTTATGCTAATTCTTGCTGACCTCGCTCGATATAGCGAGTAGCCCCGTGAGAACAGGTCTCTCTGGAGTTACTCGCTGGACTTGCTCGCTCTAGGGAGCAGCCCAGAAAGCAAATCCTGCTACCTTACTCCCTGTGGTCCTTCTTGCTAGTGCAGCTCGCTCCAGCGAGCAACCTAACGAGGGTATCTATGACATAGGCTTTGCTATATAATATTGTCCATCAACACAATTGATATTTAGTTGTTTTATCATTTGTTTGTCCTGTCATAACATGATATTTTATTGAGAATCCTAGTGTGTATGTGTACATATAATACAGATGTGGGCATAATGCTTATATAGGTGCCATACAGTTACAGTTGTGAGGGACGTGTCGCTGTATTTGAGCTCAATACACTTATAGGCCCATAACGGACAAACACATATAATTGCTATATGCAGGATATATACAATAGCTTATTCGGGGCCTAAGAACCTATACAATAACTTTAGACAACTAGTGATTCAGTGATTATATGTAGATATATAAATGTGATTGCCTTTCTTTCAAGAAACTTTTTACAGAAGTGTATAGGGAGATATTGTCAAGTGGGACAAATTCCAGAATCATAGTAGAGTAAGTTTAATAGTTTTATAATTGACTGAGATTCACATCTCACTCTATTGGAATTTCATTATAGGAACTCTCGGCAAGGACAACAATTCAGATAAGATGTGATCATGTGTGCACAATGGATAATGTATTTTGTTTGCCATGTAGTGACAGTAGAATAATGCCTTTAAATTGTAACTATGACTTACAGTTTGGAAGTTCTCTCTTAGAGTAAATATTTCCATAAATCGGGGTGTTACAATAATAATGTATACATATTCTCATAATATTTGAAAATATATTTTGTGAGTTATAACCAATGTTATAAAAATCGAACCAGTGATCGACCCGGTTAGTGTACCGGGTCAGTGGGTCACGGGTTGAACACTTGATTTGAATTTATAAAGAAGTATGTAATAAATATTATAGTTGATATAAAATATCTCAAATCAGGGATTGACATAATGATTATTATCTTTTATTTCATACTATGTCACCTTGATTCGAGTCTTGGTGGCTGCACATTGCATAAAATGATTTTTAAAAAAAAACACCAAAATTGGTTCAACATTAAACCATTCTTGGTTTTCACCGATTGAACCTGTGCGCAGGTGGGTCATCGGGTCGTTATCCGTTCACATGCATATACAATTAAGTTATCAGAATAGATCGGCTGGGGATCCAATTTCTAGGCCAATCGGTTGGACCTGCGGTCCGGTCCGATTTTCGCAACACTAGTTGCGCCCTTTTTTTAATATTTTAAAATAAAATTATGTATGACATTATAAATTATTGAATTTAAAAATATGAAATAAATGTGTATGATTTCTATTTTTTTCAATCTCTACTTATAAAATGTTTTGGGTGTAAACAATTTTTATTATTAAAATCAATTGAAAGTTGGAACTAAGCTTTGTTCCCCATTTATTAAGCTCACTTTTCTTCCTTATTAAACAAAAAAAATATTGTGTCTAATAAAAAAATAACAAAAAATTGCTATAAAGAGAAAGTAGGGAATAACTTACACAAAATCATCTGATTTACAAGAGAATGCACCTCTCAAAGACATTAAATGATACATTAAAAAAAATATTACTTTACCTGAAGAATTATATCTTAAAGGAATCTTTCAATTTAATGTTCAATTTTCATTCATTCAAAATTATCATTATTAATTACCCACTTAAATATTTAAATATCAATATTAAAAGGAACAATTATAAATACATTTTTTACTTATT